TATCAAGAATATTCCTATTAGTTTCTTTTTTGTGAAATACAATCTAAAATAAGTGTTCAAGTCTATTGGGTAGAAATTTGGACTAACCCTCTCTTGCTCGCACACACTGATAGATACGTTACAAACAGTTTAGCACAGATATGATAGACGTCTTACAAGGGATCTACTGCAACTGTAATCCGCCATTTGAGCTCGCATAAGATTTACAGAGAGATCTTGATTAAATTAGAAAAATCCTATAAGGATTCGTGTCCATGGGTCTCTGAAATCGAGTTATGACTGTTTTACTGAATTTTCGGCCCATTTGTAGGTATTGACTGAAAAATCAAATAAAAGAATTTCGATCTGAAACTAAACGTATAAATAGATTTAATGACCCTTGAAATATCCTGAAAGCTTCAGCCGAAAAAATTTTCCTTTGTCGAGGTATTGAATTTTGAACAAATAGTCATTTGTCACAGACATATCATAAAAATCGAGTTTACAAGAATATTCAATATCTCAATAAAGGAACATTGTTTTTGATTGAAACTTTCAGAATATTTTCAAGGATCATTATATCTATCAATGAACAAAACTACAGATGAAAATTCTGTTATTTGATTTTTCAGTAAATAACTAAAAATAAGTTGAAAATTCAGTAAAAACTCTTATTGAAGCCTGCTTGTGGCCTCAATATAACCTCAAACAGTGGACTATAGTTCAAACAGGTTCCTTTTTAGCATAGACACTTCACAGGTCATCATAGACATGGTGTACGGTAGAAAGGTTGAGAGAAAAATGTCGAAAAAAATTATGTTTCTAGTAAATGATGACTCTAAGCACATGCAATTTTGATGTGTGAAACAGAAGACTCCCCGTCACAGCCACACTCTCAATTGCAGCAATAGTTATGTGACCAAGTGAACGCAAAAACGTTTTGTGTTTAGTCTTAATTTGTGAGTTATTTTATTGATTTTAAAATATTTTTTATCTATTGAATAGGTGTATGTTTTTACCGGATAATGGAGCATTTTTTGTGAATTATATAATAACATCAGCATTCATTGGAGCTGCTATTGAATTATTACGTTTAGCTGATCTTATCTTTTATATTTATATAATCATAACAGCTAAATCAACAGCTGAAAGACGTGTTATTCGACATGTAAGAGTGCAATTTGTTTTTTTCGTTCTATTATTATGATAAATATGAATTGATTCAAATGTTAGGCTCTTCAATTTCCATTTCGTTTTGGTGTACAATATGCTTGGACATCAGCAGTATTTTGTGTCATTGTTGCATATTCTATAGCTTGTCCATTAATTACACCAATTGGTAAATATTTATTTGATAATTGTAAAATTTAAATTATTTTTAATTATGAATTAGGTTTAATTTATATGTTAATTAAACGTGCAGTTGATAAATACAATTTAGTATTTGTTTATGATACTGAAATAGCTGATAAAAGTGTTCATCGTTTAGCAGGAAATTTTATCATAATTGCATTAATTATTCAACAATTAACATTACTCTTCTTTGTAATTGTTCGATCTGGTTTGTAATTAATTAAAAAAAATAAAAATAAATAAATAAATTATTTCAATATTTTAGAAAAATTAACTTATTTATCTATGACATTATTAAGTAGTTTTATTTTAACAAGTAAATGTGAAATTTTTCGGATAAATGAAATCAATTAATTTATTTTAGGTGGCATATATTTTGGTTTTTCATGTTTTGATTGTTGTGATCGTTGGACTTTACGTAGAGAAATATTTTCAACAGTACCAGTACCTGAGGTCAGCAATTGTTTTCTACCACTTACTATTAGATATCAATTATTGAAAGATATATATTCAAGTGTAAGAAATAGAAAACAAAAATCAATTGATTTGGGATTACAATTTATTATTTTGGGATGAGAAGACTCTTCTTAATTTTTCCTTGATTATTTCTGAACTCGTCTTCGGCTAAATAAGACTATTCATTTTTTGTTGGAAGTATTGAATTTATTTGAAATGAACTTGGTAGAATACAGATGTCAAGCAGAAGCATGAGTATTTTGACATATATTATACGATTGAACAACATTTAAGATAACTGGCATATATCTTTCGTTAGCTACAATTTAGACAAATAAAAGTCTCGAAAGTAAGATAGATCGAACAACTGATCATTCTAAAACCTATAACACTGGTTACGCGATGATATCCGGATCATTTCTAATTATTTGAAGAGCTTACGAATATGCCTAAAAAGTGTTTCATAAACTCAAAGTCACGTTAATATAACCAATTCAATTTAATACATTGTCGAGTATTATTAACAGACAACCAAGTCTGCTATTTTATATTAAGGATAATTAGAGAATCAGTCTGTCTCTTGGTTATATTTTGAAGCTTCTTTTATTGCTTATGGGAATTCGACATTTAATTATTCTTTGTTCTATGATTAATTTAATATATAGACAGCTGGAAATCGTCAAAAACTGGATGATTTAGGTGAATTGGAGGAAACGGAAGGTTGTGAAACTAAACAACGAGCAACATCGGTAACTATTGACCATAAAAATAATTTTTTCTCGAATAATGTCTTTTTTTTTTCAGCATTATATTCCAACGATTTTAAATGCATGCATAGAAGAATTTGATATTTCACCGAGTGCACCAAAAGTACGTCGAAGTTCAATACGTGAACCGTTACAACAAGGAAATTATGGAACACTTGATCAAGTTTCCCAACCAATTGTTGTTGGAACTGGTGATGAAAATGATTTACTTACAGATTAAGAAGAAAGGAAAAAAAAATATATAGATATTGATTTAAAAATTTATTCCCGCAATAATATTGTTCTTTTCGTTTCGTGTAGTATTTTATGTTCTCATATGGATGTAGTCTTATCGAGATACTTTATTACGCCTTGTACATCAAGTATTTTCGAATTATATGACGAAAACAAAATATATAAGTACATATATGTTGTTATTGTATTTTATTATTTTATTGATCTGTTGTCAAATTTTTCTTAAGTGAATTGTTGTTGTAACTTTGACATGAGTTTTAATCGATATTTTTGTTTTGTTTCAGATTTATTCATACTAAATTAATTATTGTTGTTAATAATATACGGAAACAACGTAGCCGAAATTTATTTCATTATTAACCAATTTTGTTAAAGGTATTTCCATCGTTCAAGAATTGAAATCAAGTAGAATGTAGTGTTTGTGGTATCTTTATCGGGATTATATGTGTCAGTCTTTGTAAACCCGGCAATGCTGTTCTATGCAACAGCATTTGAAGCATCCTTATTCTAGAATGTCTTGAAAGTGTGGATATCCCATGATTTTCACTTTTAGAAAGTGAAGATGAAAATGCATCAAATCGTATATTATAGATTTTTTCAACTGATTTTCTTAAGTTTTTCAATTCATCTTTTGGAAAAGAAAGTTACTTCCGTGAGATGCTTTCAATGGATCTTTAATTAATAAGCGTACATTCGAACCACCAGTTGAAGACCTATAAAACGGAGCAGGCTTAAATGTTTAGATTTAAGCATTCGAGCGTTTTAGTTAGTTATTCTACTAGAAATGATAAGTCAATATTTTAACAGTTCCTAAGAAAAAAAAACTCACTTTTTTTAATTTTATTTTTTGATAAAGAAATCACCTTTTCGGCATCGTTTTTAAAAAAAAATAATTAAAAACGTTTGAGAAAACATATTGTAAAAATCTACAATATATAATTCGAAGCAACTTCATCTCCACTTTCTGAAAGTGACAATCACATGTCTTTAACTTATTTTTATCAATAATATTTCTTATCAAAAGTTTATTATTTTCATATTAGTTGTAGAATGATGAAACATTGCACAAATATAGAATATTGGTGTCATTAATGGTGCATACAGAGAGAAAGTTTCCTCAAACTTTCTATATATTAATTAATAAAGTACCACCACTGTTACTTTTCGATTATCTTAAATCCTAAAAAAGAAACCTGTTCAATATGTCCCGATATGAGGACAATAAAACTGATGAATTATCAAAATTTTTCAATTCATTTATCAAAAAGAGGCTTGATCTTATGAATCACCTAACCCCATCTTTTATCTATGAAATAAAAATTTTTACATTGTTTTTTCAATTTCTCGAAAAATCAAAAAATTTCAATGAATTTTTTTCTTAATATTTGTTCATTATCTTTTGAAACACCTAATTCATTTTGTAAATTTTATTCTTTTAGATGGCTGATGATTTAGGTGATGACGATTATTATCTTCAAGAAGAAATTCCACCTGAAAATAATGATACTACTGATAAAACAGTAAAAACAAAAAAAAAGAAACAAAAAGTTTTACCAAAACGACCTCTAGGAACTTATTCGGACTTAATAACAACAATTCGTATTCATTATAAAAAATCGAAAAGTCAATATGAACTTGATGAACTGCTTTCAATATTTAATTCATCAATATCAGCTTCATCACCATCAACATCTACAATATCACTTGATGAATATTTAAATGAATTAGTTCTAATAAATAAATGGTCTAAACAAGCTGATCTTTCATCAGCACCAGTTGTTTTAATAATTGCACAATCTGCATTACGTTGTATTGAATTAGGAAAAATCTTAAAAAATTCTTCGTCATCAAAATTCTTTACATTTCATTATTTATTTGCTAAACATAAAAAACTTTCTGATCAAATTGAATTATTAAAAAAATCCACAACATTATTTAATATTATTATTGGAACACCAAAACGTATTGATGATATTCTTGATGTCAATGTAATTAATCTTAAACGATTAAAATTTGTTTTAATTGATTGGAATTATCAAAATATAAAACAACAACGTTTAATTGATTTAAATCAATTAAAAATTGAACTTTGTCATTTGTTATGTGAACAAAATGTTTTATATAAACGTTTTTTTAAAGAAAAAACTAAAATAGGACTTTTTTGATTGTTATTGGTAATTTTTTTGAGGTTTTTTTTTCTTGTTGTTTCAGATGGGTGGACCAGCAGATATCGATGGAAAAACACATCCAGAAACAGATAATTTTCTTCCATGTAAATTTGTTATTGATGGTATAACATATTCATCATCAGAAAATTATTTTCAATGTGCAAAAACAACAAATGAAGCTGATAGAAATATGGTTTTAAAATCGGGTTCAGGTTCCTCAGCTTGGGCGGCTGGACAAAGAGTTGATATTCGATCCGATTGGGAATCAATTAAAGTTGATGAAATGTATAAAGGAAATTTAGCAAAATTTCAACAAAATGAAGATTTAAGAAATGCTCTTTTAAGTTCTGGTAAAAGTACAATACGTTTTACAGGTTCAACACCATTTTGGAATCGTTGGAATGGTCTTATTTTAGAAAGAATTCGAGCAGAACTGCGTCAAAATGGTGAAGAAGATGCTCGCCATACATCCGAAATACGTGAAATGATGAAAAATTTTTCTGAACAACACAAACAATAATTTCCATTTCTATTTTATTTTCTGATCAAGTGTTTTTTTTTTTTTTTGTCTTTTCATTCGAGATAATTTTTCATCAAATGAAAATTAACATTCAAAGCAGTTCTTCTTAACTATGCATCAAAGAATCAAAATACCGAACTTTTTTCAATGATTCTAATAAAACACGTTTGTCATCATTCATGAAGGCTTGAAAAAAGAAATTAAAATAAATTTTCTTAAAAAGTCATGCAAAGTGTAACAAAATAAAGTAAATAGAACGACGTAGACAGTCATGAATGCAGAATATTCAGCAAAACAAGTTGATTTCTAACAAATTCTGTTAAGTAAAACCATATGTTCTTAAATATTTGAAACTTTATTATAACATAATTTGATATAATGGTTGGCGAAGATTAGATAGAACAATATCATTTTCTTTTTGAAATTATTTTGATACACTTTCAAAATATTATTCGATGGAGAATTTTTTGCTCGACAAAGGTATTTCATTTGGTTTTCAAATAAAATTTTCTTGTTGAAGCAAAATTTAAAATATGGACGTCTACTCAAACATTTTGATTGCGATTTTCGGTAGATATTTATCAATTCATTTGTGTTATTGGTCATGATGACCAATCCAACAAATAACGTAGTTAGCATAAATGAATAGAGAATTTTGTGCTCACCAATTCTATGACCTTTTTAAGATTGCTGGTGTTATCGTTCGTAAGAAAAAAGCTTAAGCATGTTTTCCGAAACGATGCTTAGTTTATGAAGCAGTCATTATTGTGCTGTCGGATGTAAAATTTAAGTCTAAACAAAATGATGTGACTACTAAGCTACAGAGTAAAAAACGATTAAGATGTATCGGAAGAAGAAAAAAAAAACAATCACGTAATCCTGCCAAAGACGCCTTTTTTTCTATTTTTTACTGCATAATCACTCTCATAAATATTTGTTTAGAAATTCTAGAGTGTATATCAAAAGATGTAGAATATTGTAGAGAGTTTGGTGCCATGTTCACCATTTGAGAAGATCCTTGTTAAAAAAGTTTGCCTCATATTTTAATTTGTTTGGTCATCGCAGTTGAACAATTGAGTAAGTGTTAATATTTAAAATTTTGCTCCAATAAGAAAATTTTATTTAAAAAACAAATAAAACAGCTTTTTACAACAAAAAAATCTCTATCGAATGATTTTCTGAAAGTTCATCGAACTACTGAAAGAAAATGATATTGTTTGGTTAAATTTGCGCCACCCATTATTACATTGTATTTTAAATCATTCCTGACTATGTTGAGATGTTTGTTAATTCAGAAAGACATTGGAACAAGTTTCTTCATAGATCGGTATGATTCTTTATTGTACAGCAAATACAAATAATGTATCGTATAAATTGTTAAACAATTGATTAAGACCAACTATCCCTTCTGTCAAAATTTAAATCATTTATAATTTTTAGAATATGTCGGGATTATAGTGAAGAGACACGGTAGCATTCTCACTTCTATATCATGACGTTCTCGGGAGACGTACAACGAACAAGAGTCAAAAATAGCTTACTTCGTAACTGAAAATTCTCTATGGGCCTTTATTCTATATACTTAATTTATTTTTTGTTTGAAAGGGCATGTCAGGATACAGAGTATGACAGAACTCTTTTTTTTAATTTTTACTTTTTAAACTGAGAAAAGGAACGAATAGTTCAATGCCTTGAAAAGTCCTCAAAAACTGGTGCTTCAACCATAGAAGCACCCTTATATATATAATAGTAATAATGCTTAATTCAAACAAAAAGGGCGTCATGTCCTGGTTTTTCATATGCTCTTTTGAACAATAAAATTAAACATATAGAATGAAGCCTCGCGGGAAATTCTGGATTGCGTGCTCACAAAAGCATTAATAGAGAAGAAACGAAAAACATTTCCCACTTTGTCTGAAAAAAGAAGCATATTTTTCAAGCTGAAGGCGACAGAAATCATCAAAAAATCTTGGCAAAAAAAGTAGGTGCTGAATAAAAAAATCATCTCATTTATGAAAGATCAGACATCAGCCTACCTTCCTAAGAATTTGTTTTTTTGATGAAAATTGACTTTTTCTTAGAGAGAGGAAGTAATACGAACTTATTTTATTGACTAATAATGATATGTAAACCACTAAACAATAATAAAAGCTCAGTAGAAATGTTTCTATTACATGAATAACAAATTTTGGTATCATTCATTATCTTATCAATTCTAATTCTTATTTTGTTGTTGTTATTTTGAATAACTAAATGTATTATATGTATGATAATCATTATTTTAATTTTCAGAACAAGTTGCGCGATGACAGGGATTTATTTTTAATCTTATCAATCATTATTATTATTATCCAATAGAAGTTTTGCTTGAATAAAGTATAAATATATGTGATTTTTAAATCAATTATAAATACTATTCAGAAATGAATAATATATATTTATATTAATTTTCATTAATCTGAAAATGTTTTCCTTTTCAATTTGCTAATGCAACAAATAGTTAAGATAAAGAAAAAAAAGAATCTAATAGTCAAATTCAGTGTATCAGTTGAACAAAGACTGAGAGATGTTCAATTAATGAAAAAGATAACTATAATACATAAAATGTTTCAGAGAATTGATTGACTTATCAAGATTTACAGAAACGGTTAAAATTTTGAGAACAAATTTCATTCTAGAAAAGAATTTGTACCTAATAGTTATCTTTCATGTCATCAATTATAGTTATTTGAAGAAAAAAAATAGAGCTGACGTAGAAGCCGATGAGCAGGTGCAAAAAACGAAGAAGTTAGTATGAAAATACTTCATTTGATTCTCTATTATTCCTAAATAGTTTCATTACGAAACTAATTGATATTAATGATCTGTTTAATTAATAGTTCCTGTATGGAAGAATATGCACTCTGCACATCATTCTTTTCTTGTTATACTTCAGTAGAATTGAGAAAAAAGAGAATTAATTTAAAAAAAAGAAGAAAACAAAGATGAGTAAACAACAAAGAGTGAGTTATTGACTGGCCCATTTTCTTTGTCAAAAGTATATAATTATTGGATGAAAAAAAAATGAATCTGTCGTGTTCTTTCCGTTTTTTCTTCTTTAGTGCGTACCTAAGTATAGTCTGCAGACTGTGAAATAATCAGGTAAGATGAAATGATTTCTCAGTCAATTACAGAGAAAATTCTTTAAAATACAGGAAAAATTTATCTTATCTCCAATCGCCTTCTATATGATTAACAAGATAAAAATAAATGCTATATATATAGTCATAAATGTCAATAATTTATTTTGTTAAAACATGTCACCTTTTAAGCTAGACTCCCGAAGAACTTTTAGACAGGTTAGTTTTAAAATGTCTTCTAAGGAGAAATGATTTTTTATTTAAAATATAAATAAAAATTAAGCTTTACGTGAAGTATAACCATTGATTATTGCAACTATTTAAAATAAATAGAAATGTTTAATTAGATATATGATTTCAATGATGTTTAGAAATAAGTTTTCTCATGTGATCATTAAAGTTTCTTTAGATATTGTATTAATAATGCAAATTTTTCTTCATCAATGAATTCAACTTGGCGTAGAAATGTAAATTTATTCCATCTTTTTGTGTCTGGTTAAAGATTTATCTATGAAAATATGTAAAAAAAAAAAAACAACTAATATCATCTTGTTAGTAATATTTTAGTTAGCAATATATCTATATATTTCATGTTCTTATATAGATATTTCTTAATTGATTAGATTATATTAAGTTCAAAAACATTTCTTTTCTTATCTGTTGGATGCATCCTGAAATTTTATTCTCTGCTTCATTATGATTGTTGTTTCACTCACGAGGGGATTATATGTCTAGCATATATTATCTATCGAGAACAACAGCATTTCTAAAAATGTAAAATATGTTGTTTGATAATTATTTCTCTTCTTTTTCTTGTGTCTTTTGTCTATTTATTTCAGATCAAAGTCTTATATATATCTGTTCATTATTTGTCATATTTCATTTAAAAGGGAAAAAATGCGTATACATGCTTTTATTGCTTTATGCACAATTGCGATTTTCTTATTTATGGTCTCATCAGCCGTCGCTGTTGCTGAAGTAGTTTATAATCCTCGGACAAGAAAATTGTCCAATGTTCCATGGCTTGCGGCTCCTCATTTTCAAGCATTAGCAAAACGTGGTCGATTCGTTTTTCGTGAAGCATCAAATGAATATTTGCATGATACAAAAAATGATGATGTTGACAATGCTGATTCTCATCCTGATAAACGTAATTGGCGATTATAAAGACAAGTTAAAAACAAAACCAATATAAAATTCAATATTACCAAAAAAAAAAGAAAAAACATCTTCGCTTTTAAAAACTCATCATATTTTTTGTTGTGGATATCATTATTGTATGCATTGAAAGAAATTATTAAATAAATGAGAGAGAAAACTTATTTTCGAAATATAAAATATATTTAAGATAAAAAAAGAATGATTTATCCCCATAAGGAAATAATCAACAAATTTTCGATCTAGAGAATTCATATTGCAAGACCATAGACGTATATTCATAAATTCATGAATATTAAAAATTATGATAAATTTTAGTTATATATGATAGAATCATATATCATTCGTTTTTCTTTCTTCAATGAAGACAGACTGACAGCCAATACGTGCAAGTAATCATACCCAGGAACTTGAAAAATTGCATTAAAATGTTGCAACGGATATGAAAATTGATATATTTAAAATTCATTGATTAAAATGAACATTTTTTTTTTCCCATTTACTTGATTAAAATATTCAGTTTAATCAAGGAGATTAGAATTCATTAATTTTTATGTTCGTTTCATCATCGGAAATGTCATTTTTCTCGTGTTTTTTATATAAAATTCATGACATTTTTTTTGAAATTTTTTAACTCCATAGGTATTCTTGAGAATTTCATTTCAAATAGAAATTACAATAAATTATTTCATAGATCAAATAACAATTCGTGCTTATAGATTTCATTTTGTTTTTTAAAGAATGTTTATTTTCTATATAATTATATGTTAGCATGAAATCAATGATTTTTCAAAAACTATCAAGTTTTCTCTTAATGATGCGATTGTTTAGATCTTATTTAATCATTTGACCTATGGTTTCTTTCTTTTATCCTTTTGTCGAGGATGCTTCATATTCTATTCATCTTTGGCAATTGTTTCTATTCTCCAGCGCATTCAAAGGCAAATATTGTATTTTAAATTATGCCCTTAGTGAGAAACTACATCGAGTTTTATCATAAGTAACTCTTTGCCTTTCCCATCATCATATTATATTGTCTTATTCAAATGTCAATATTTTTTATAAGAAAACATAAATAGAGAGGCCATTAGTAGGTTGACTGGGTTCTAAAAATTCCTTATAATTATATATATATATATAGTGATATAAATATGATGATAAGGTATCCATGTTCAAGTAATATTGAAAAGAATTAATCTGTATACACAAAAAAACTTCGTGTTCGATAAAATTAAATAATTTGACAATTTAAATAAGAAAATTTTCATTTGATAAATTTCTAGAATATATGCTGTTTGTAAATAAACACAAGGATTGAAAACAAATTGCAACTAGAAAAACAAGAAGGATAATGCTCATATGAAAACATATGAATCCTTAAAGAATCTCAATCGATGAAATTTAATTTAATATATATATATATATATATTTTCTTGAAATAGTAAAATCTCTACAATACAATTTATGAAATTCAAATTCCTAACAAGTTCATTTCTTATTTGAATAATTCATTTTGTTGTCTCTTTTACAATGTATTTAGTAGACTCAAGGTCGGTCAAACACTATTGAATTATCACAAATGCTATCAACACTATAATTACATGAGTAACTATGATGAATGCGTACTATCTGACACTGAAAAAAGGTGTCAATTAATATTATAGACTGTATTACATAGCTTGTTTAATTTTTAATGATAATTTGTTTTACAGAGATGTTCATCTGACAACATAAAGAAGAATGTAATTTGTGTTGATTAAGTATCATTAACGATCCCGATGCCTCGATAAAGACGTATCTACGTAATAGCTAAGCCAAACATTTGGATATAAGACACAATTGTTTAGATCCACATAACAATGATGTTGAAAAGAACTTGAATACTTTATAATGATTCATATCATATGTGATGAATTAGATCCATTAGAGATTGTATTGTGCAAAAACTATCGGATACTATTGCGAGTTTTTAATTTACTGTAAACTCCAATATTTATTTGAAGACTAAATGAAAACTTGTTTTTCTATGGCCTGTTACTTTCATCGTTTATATGTATTCTAAAAATATTATTTCATCTATAATTATACAACAAGTAATCTATTAATATATTATTGACGAATTGACTATTAACTACGTATTTAGATAAACATTCATATCTATGAGCATTCCCTCATCAGCGCAGTCATCTAACAATTATGACTTGCCATCATAACTACTATAATTACTCGCGGGAGTTCTCGAACAATTTTCTATACATTTATATTTTGAATGTACCCTTCTAAACGCTTATGAGTTTTTTTTCTTATAGAATCAATCATAGGGAAAGGATGAGTACTCAATGTAGTACTCATCCTCGTTGTTTTTTACAGAATATGTACCAGAATATTTACACTCTAAAATATCGCACTTAAATAAAAATCATATAATTGAGTGGAAAATAGAGCAAAGTTATTTTTTATTGTTTATTCATCTTTCTTCTATCCCTTTTTTCAAAGCTTTTCTAAAAGTCAATTGAAATCTTTAACTAGATAAAAGATTGTTATTGATTTACAAAAATATCTGTTTTTTTTTGTGATAATCAAGATTGTGTTTATTTGTTTCTCTTTTACTGTTCTCAATCATTGATTTTATATCATTTACTTTATTTAAAATATAGATGAAACAAATATGTATTTTTAAAACATATAGATACATGTTTTCTTTAATTCTGTCTAATAAATAACTGATAATACGCATTCATTTTCAAGTTATTAACTCTCTGGTTTTTTTTTGTAGTTGGATTTAATCAAAATTTCGAAAACAACACAATGAATTTTGTGTTGGTCTTATGGACATATACTTTTTGGAAAAAAGCGAATATCTCACATTTGTATCACTAATAGTATTGGGTGCCACAAAAAGTAGTGCCGCTCAATGGGAAATTCATGCAGTTAAGATTACTTCAAACATTTCCTCCTGATAGTCAGATGTGTAAAATTTTTCGATGAATCTAGTATTACGCTGACTTTGATAAACTGAATTATATTTTCTTCGAAACTTTTCTTTAGCGATTTTCTCTTAAGTTGGACTAACCAACATTATTCATTTTGTAACCCACACATTTGACGTTTCGTAAGTCGCTCTCCTTTAGGCTATTGTACATTATCAATGTACATGTTAAATTTTCTTTAACCTAACAAATTATATCATCAACATAATTCTTTAGTTTATAGGTAAATTAAAGCATTTTAATAAATTTTACCTTCAATACAGCATCTTGATGAATCTCATCAAGTTGCTGTTTATATCAATCCATTTGTTCATTAATATCGAGACATCCAACATGATTTTCATCAAAAGTTGACATCGATTAGGACTTGTGTTTGATATTCGCCATGAAAAAATGCTTATTTTTATTTATCTGTCATCTTTGATACTTACGAAGATTCTATGTACCCAGTTATTTCAATATTTTATTTGAATACGATGAGAACAATCGAAATTCATCGTTTGTCGCAAATATCAAACGGAACATATTCCTAAATATAATTCGCATGTTTTTTGGATGTTTTCCATAATGTTTTTCACCACTATCTTCATATTTTTTATAGTTCATCCAAAAAGTCCGACTTTTTGGATGGACTATAGTTCAAGATTAATTATTAACACTTAAGCAAATATAAATTAATCATAATTTCGTTTATTGAACTTCATCAGTTTTCTTTCTGTTAAGGGTGTGAATGTGGGTGATACTTTTTCTATAACTAGCAAGACACTCCACAACCACACCCACACCCACACCCTCACCAACATTTGTTCAAGGATCACTCGTCAATGATTCAATTAGTAAATCAATAATTGTTAATTTAACTTGGATATTCTAATTTCGATGGAATTGTGCCAAATGAATGATGTAGAATTCAAATGAAAGATAGTGTATTATTAGATATCGATGAATTTTCTTCATAAAAAGATGAGCTCGGATGGAAAAATAAAGAAGATATTATTGTAAAAAATATCTTACACAAACTGGGACTTTATTACGTGGTATTCGACCATTTACAACCTATCGTTTTCGATTATCAATTTGAAATCAATTAGGAGAACGTATATAGACTTATGTAGGACATATCAAAAGTAGTAATACTAGCACTAGAATATATTATAGAAGGCTCGGAGAAATATGTATATTGAGAATTCGAACAGTGTTCTATAATATTTCATCATTCTTCAATCGGTATGGTGATATCAAAATTTCAATTTCGACAGGCGAAAACTGATCTAAGTCATCGTGCCATTCAAAGAATAATTTCCGATCATGGTAAACTTAAAAAAGATTGTATCTCATTTTCTATCGAAACAGCTGATCTTGAGAATGGTCATGAAAGATATAGCCTGATTTACAGTTCTGATAGATCTTTCTTTTTCTTCATGTACTGCCGGAAATCACATGCACCATCTTTCAACTGTTCTAAGAGGTAGGGTTTGACTACCAAAAATAACGCATAGTTCCCATTTGAAACTAGAGTGCAATATGAATAGAGATGTGCAGGAGTAAAGTTGTTTTGTACCTAGTCCTGGTTTAGTGAGAACTATTTCAGATTTTATTCGTATCTTATCTAAAAATGTTCTTCAATATTCATTTATTGATTTATTTAGTCAGCGATTAGGGTAACATGGCTGTTGCTCTCCAGAAAGATGCTTCTGCGATAGTTGCTCCCCAACGACACTTGAGAGGGGGGGGGGGGAGAGGTGCGTGTTGATGTGTGGGTATGAATGTGTGAGTCAGAGACCGAAACGCATGAGAAAATCTCGATTCCGGTCCGATTCGATTCAACAGAATTTGTATTCGATTCAATTTGATTCTACTGCTTTCAAAAAACCTTCATTTGATTTGGTTTCGGTCTCTAGCGTAGATGGTGGCATGTTTGCCCTATTTTAATCAACCACACCCACACCTGCTTTTTGAATCCTGCGTATATTTGTAACTAATTTAGCTGTTCCTTAGCTGATATTAATCTGTGACTCTTCAAAAAGTACTTCTGATTTTCCAATGAAACAGACACCGTAGGGGAGCAACTGTTACCGAGGAGCATCTGTCATGGAATTGGCGGCTAGCACTAGTTTGGATCATCTCTTTTGACTTATGTTGTGATTTATATGATTATTCGCTTAAAGCTATATAATATTTATCTAAAATCTTTAGTTCCGATTAAGACAACTGTTTTTTTTTCATAGTCCAACTCCCGATGACCGAGACTAAATTCTTTCCCCCAATATATTTAAGGACGAGCTTGAATGTAGAAATCATCGCAACTGTAAAGTAATAAAATATTTTGGAACACTATTTGGACAACGAGAATACCTATAGAAAAAATTTTCTCAAATGTTCTATTAAAGTATTACTGCTACTAGCCCTAAGTATTTCAAATAAATATAAAACGAACTATTTTATTTACGTTTAGATCAAATAAGTGGTCTTAGTAACAAAATTACTTTTTCAGAAGAAAGTAAGATTATTTATTAATAAAAAAGAAACAATAATAATTTATCTATCAATTTAGTTCCAAGTGATTCCATTAAATCTTTAACAGCTATTCTTCGTGATTCAACATTCGTATTTATTGAATATACAAAACCAATTGAATCAAGTATCAATGGACAATATAATTGGTTATAATATTAATCATGTATTAAATTATCGAAATTTAAATTGAAAATGAATTCGTGTTAATTCATCAACACATTCATATATTTTAAAAGGTCCTTTTGGTTTGTCCATTGATACAAAAAGTAATTAAACTTTATTTTTCTAATTTTAGATTTAATGACATGGAGTCATATTTTTTGGGTTGACAAGAAAGTTTTGCGTCTTTTTTATTATTGAGATAATAAAAAAAGACGCAAAACTTTCTTGCCAACCCAACAATATCTGTATTAGTTGCTGATTATGTTGTTTTATTAGTCAAGCAAGTGAAATAGTTAAAGTTCGTACTCTTGAAGGCACACCAAAACGCAACCAACAATTATTCAACATGAACCAGTTAATAGCACAGTAATTAGGATTAAATGACAAGGTCCATTCTTATCATATAATAATAAAATTCTTAACTCATTTAAAATGAGACAAGTTACAAACAAGATAAATTGAATAACTGAAGTTTTTTGTTTCTTTTTAGACTGATTTTATTGATTTAAATCGAAATATAACATTATATCAAGAACAACAAGCTATACCCATTGAACTCTATCAACTTGTTATTAGCAATTTAAAAAAATATACAACTGATTCAGTAAGAATTAATTGTAGAACAAAAATTGGTGGTGGATCATGGCCATCACCAATGATTTAAGTTCAAACACTTGAAGATGGCATGATATGATACAATCTGATAAGATCAAATTTCCAATCAGCTATTTCTCAATATTTCATACAAAAACAACCATCTGATGACTATTACTCGTTTTAGATCTTACGAGGAAATTATTTTAAACATTGTTCAAGCTCTTATGTTAACAAAGGTTACAGTCTATTGTAGAGAGACAAGTTCGAAAAAGCATATGTGCGATGAGCATTTTCTTCTTGGTTTATGATTATTTTAATGAATTTTCGAAATATTGCAAGATATTAGGACGAAAATTGAATTATAGAATTGTAGTCTAATATACAACCTGGCAATAGATCTCAGTGTCATTAGTATAACCTGGAAGTTGTAGCGAAAGTGGATAATTTCTTCTTCAGATATCGCCTACTCACAAAAAAATATGTTTGTTTAAATCGTTTGCAAGGAATCAACGGTTTTGCAATTCTATTTTCTTGAAACAGAAGTATCATATTTTTCAGGATGTTATAATAGTCATGAGATCTATCTCCGGGTAACATGTCAGGCTGAAATTCTATTCTTCAGATTTCTTCGTAATATCCTGCAATAATCTGCACATTCATTAAAACGATTATAACTGAAGAAGAAAGCACTCATGGTACTTATTCTTTTCAAACATGTATCTGCACCATTGATCCTAATAATTGAGCTCGAATAGAGATTATCAATTGGAAGAACTAATGGGAATCAAAGGTTGCTCAGTACATAACAATCAATTTTATGTTTAGATTCTTCTGAAACATTTGAGAGCGTGTCAAATCCTTCCTTAAATTTCCAATGGTCGTAAAATGCTTTTAAACTTTGAATTAGATGGATAAGCAATTATATAGTACATGTCATGATGGTGTTAGTAGTGCGTTGAATTAACAAATTCGTTATGCAATCAATATAATAGTTTCGGTGTTTATTAGAATAAGAAATAATGCATTGAGATTCGTTATGAATTTATCAAACGAAGGTATGCATCAAGAGAACTCATTAAATAGTTAAAAAGTTAATAAAAAAATATATCTATCTGACATACTCAATAAGTAAGATAGAATGTTTTTTTGACTAGTTGATTATCCTTGAAGAGAAATTCTTAAGTTTATGTATTTCATATTAGTAAAACGAATTCGAAAGAAATGGCTCAGGATAGTGTCCACAGCGCATTGAGTCCACCACAACTTTACCTTACGTCTTTCAAGATTCAAAAACATCGTTGATTTTTTTCTCTTTGCTAAATATTTGCCTTTTTAATTAGAATCATAGAGAAATTGTATTCAATCATTTCTTATGATAAATTCTTTTCTTTTAAGTTCATGATCAAGTAGAAAATTTAACTTTTTCTAATGTCTATGATACATCATTGGATATGACTCGACAAAAACCATTTGGAATTAATAGTCATTTAATTGATTATGAACTTGAATGATATCAAATGAAAAAAACACAATCGAATTTCACTGATGGTTCAATAATTGAAATCGAACCTAATTTAATAACATATAAAAAATAAATAGTTTACCACGCACATACGAAAACGCTTTGATTTAAAGCGTCCTGTAACAACAAAATTTCCATCTGGTCATACTAGTAAAAGAAATATTTTACGACATATTGATCGAATTCAAATGAAAGGTATTTATTCACAATAGACAAAATATTCAAGTAAATAAGAAAATAATTTTCTTAAAGCCAAAAGAAAAATTTCGTTTAAATATTCTCCAGTCTTTTCGTTATTATTGAACAATTAATAATGTTTGTTTATGACTAACATCCTAATAGACTTTATCGAATACAAATGCTAGCTGTTAATCAGGCTTGCCAAACCTCCTGATTTTGGCAGGAGTCTCCTGATTTTCTCAATTTTCTCCTGATGAAAGATCTCCTGATTTCAGGAGCTGATTTTTACGATTTTCTCCTGATTTCTCCTGATTTTATTTTTTCCAATTACTTGATGATTAGCAACACGCTGAATCAGTGCGAACTTCGAAGAAAAAAAGAAATTTCTTATTTTTTAATGGATTCAATAACAATATTCAACAAGATAACGCATTTCTTATGTTTTTCTTCTGTAACATGAAATCTTAATTAAAGAAAATTATTTGTAGAACAATTGTTTTCAGTACATTACTCAGAAGTATAAAGGTGGTCCAAAAGTTTCGACTCCTCCTCAGTAAATTGATTATATCTATTACAAACTTATATGTATAAATTTGATCGAAGTATATGTCTTTGTAGGGCACAACGAGAGCTATCTTTTGAAAAAAAAATAGTTCGAAATACTTAAATTTATCATCATCTTATGGTCATTTTACTAATCGTGAGTGAATATTTTGACAGTGCAGTTTTTGATAAAAATTTAAAAAAAAATATTTTTATGGTGGTCGTATGTTTTTTGTTCGTAAAATGTTTTTAAGGGCGGGGTGTGAATGTACATTATCAGAGACACAATAACTCACAACCACCCACACCTCTCCCTTAAAAACATTTTACGAACAAAAGAACATACCACCACCATAAAAATATTTCTTTTGAATTTTATCAAAAAACCCACGATCAAAGTATTCACTCCAGATTAGTAAAATGACCATAAGACGATGATAAATTTAAGTATTTCGAATTATTTTTTTTCAAAAGATAGCTCTCGTTGTGTCCTATAAAAATGTATACTTCCATCAAATATATGCATATAAGTTTGTAATAGATATAATCGATTTACTAAGGAGGGGTTGAAACTTTTGGACCACTCTTTATGATATGACTTTTGATTGTCGTATTCCTTAATTTGAGTTTATCTTTCTATATTGTGTATATTCTAATAGGTAGTGTCGACGTGAATATGGAAATAAACATTAAATGAAATGAATAATCTTGCTTTATTTATTTCATTTACAAGAGATTTTTTCCTTCAACAACAGAGTAAATCCTGTTGATTTAGGAACGAGAACTGTGTAGACTAGTGGAAACTTGCATTTTGTCAGATAAAACCTAACAAGGAACTCCTGATTTCGAAAAGAAAATCTCCTGATTTTACTCCTGATTTTGAAAAAAATTCTCCTGACGAATCCTGATTTTCAAAAGAAGAACTACTGTTTTTTGAAATTATGATTTGGCATCCCTAGTAATGACTCAATGTTCACCTCAATTTAAACTTGTATTAGTTGAAGATAGTGGTGTCGATCTGTAGCTTTTATTGACGAAAATTTTCATTCATCATTTCTAGGAAAAACAACATTCGTCAAACAGCATTTGATTGGTGAATTTGAAGAAAGATATAATGCTACAACTAGTATTGAAGTGTATCCACTTGCATTTCAAACTAATCGTGTTTTAATTATTTACAATGTATGAGATACAGCTGGTCAAGAAAAATTTGGCGGTAAGAATAAAAATTTCAAGAATTTCTATTAACAAATCTTTTTCTTCAGGTCTTCGTGATGGTTATTATATTGGTGGTTAATGTGCAATAATTACGTTTGATGTAACATCACGTATTTCATATAAAAATGTACCAAATTGGCAGAAAGATTTAATATGTGTATGTGAAAATATTTCTATTGTACTTTGTTGAAATAAAGTTGATGCTAATGATTGTAAAGTTAAAGCCAAAACGATTGTATTTCATCGACAATATAATATGCAATATTATGATATTAGTGCACGATCAAATTATAATTTTGAAGAAACGTTTTTATGGTTGGTACGTAAATTAGCTGGTGATCCTAATTTAGAATTTACTGCTATGTCCGCTCTTGAGGTATACTTTTTTATTTATCTCATTGATATTTTTACGTTTTTGTATTTCTTTTAGTCAGAATACATTCAAATAACTGAAGAACTGAAGAAGAAATTGGCGGCTCAATTAGAGGAAGTTGTTAAAGCATCAATATCTGATAATGATGATGAAGATTCATGAAGAAAAATAGAAATTTTGTTTTAATATTATTATCATTGTAAATAAAACAATATAGACACAATAGAAACACGTATGATTCTGTAAATATTTTTACATTCTATCTACTACAATTTAATCTAGAATAAAAGAGCCTAAGCTGACTAGTCCATTGAATAATTCAGCTTTCACACAATATGTTTGTTCACAAGCTTACTTCTCTCAATGCTTCAATTTGTAGAACTCTCTAGAATTGAATATGATCCGATTTGGATCGCATCATGAGAATAATATTAACGTTTCAGAGCCATTATCTAGATGTGATTTTCATGAAATCAACCTCAAGTAGAGTTAGTTAGAGATAGCATATTCGACGAACTGAAAAAGTTTAGTCTTCGTAGCATTAAAAAAACTGGGATTATACGATAGGGAAATAAATACTTGTGTTGATTGTAGATGATTAAGAAGGTTCATCATATTTTCTTTGTTGGGGTGTGAGTAGGAATGCAACAAATATAGAACATATTAAGGATTTGAATTATAGGCCTTGGAATTTGATTTGTGTTTGAATGTAGATCTTAGGTTTGGATGAAGATTTGAGTTTGGCGACTTGTGTTAGAATTTTCACTAGGAGCATGAATTTGCTTTTGGGTCCAATTCACATAAATAGTTTGCCATTTGGTGATCATTATCTAAACGCAAACTATTTATATTATTTTTGACCAAGGCCAAGTCCAAGTTCAAAATCAAATCCAAATCGAGAGTTGTAGAAAATCGATTAATATGTTAGTGTCTGAAACAGCTCGTAATTTTCATGTGGCTTGCTTTTCCCTTTAAATATTTTATCTTCAATGAAACATATCTAAATTCAATTGAAGCTGTTTCATTTTGTATGTCTTAACTTGAATCAAACATTTTTTTCCCTTCGAAATAGATATTTATAGCTGACAACGTTGAAGTATATACTATCTTAATGGACTTGAGAATGATTTAATCTATACGATCAAGGGGCAAGTAATAACAGAAATAGCAAAATAAAATTTAATATCATAAATCATCGATGTAATTACCCGAGTTACAAATGATCAGGTTTATCTATCTATGTTGTGAAGACTTGACAAGATTTTTCTTGAAACGATAGAAACAGTCCAAAAGAATAAAATTGAAAGAAGAAAAATAATAAATCATCAAGGAAACCATATCACCTAGAAAAGAAATATAAATATTCATTAAACAATCAGATTCTACTAAAAATCAGCTAATTGCTTTTTTCTGAGTTGAATTTTATTAATGATTTGAATATTGAGTTAAAACCTACATATAAGTATGTGAATATGATGATCGAGAATAAATTTCAATGTTTTAATCAATTCTTTTTTCGAAATGGTAATCCATGCAGGCGCACAGTGAATATAATAAGCATAAGTATCAGAGCGTAGACACATGACATTGCTTCATTATAACATAATAATGCAAAAATAACTAAAAAACAATTTTATATTCTGCGATACTTTTACAGTATGAATTTAGGTGTTTTTATATAGTCATTTTCTTTCGTATTGTATATCAAAAACTGTTTCATAAAGGTCTTTGAGATAGATAAGCTATTATTTTACTTCCATTTTATATTGCTTCCAGCAATGGCAAAAGTAGTATATTATTGAAATAAAAAATCCTTGTTTGAGATCGTCATTGATTTTTAATCAAAGTTCTGAAATCATGCTACTGCAAAGATTATCAAATACATTCATTCATCCTCAACAATAGGGGAGCAAAAGTTCAGCTTTAGTTCTGAGCGAAGGAACTGTTCGACACGCTCATAATTAGGAGCTGATTGATTTGAACAGCTCCTTTCAAAAGAGCGGATCTGATCAAACAGTTCTCGTTCCTGAACTGAACTTTTTCAACAGCTCCTTTCAAAAGAGCTGATATGATCGAACAGCTCTCGTTCCTGAACTGGACTTTTTCAACAGCTACTTTCAAAAGAACTGATCTGATCGAACAGTTCTCGTTCTTGAACTAAACTTTTTCAACAGCTCCTTTCAAGAGAGCTGATCTGATCGAACAGCTCTCTCTCTCAAGAACTGATTGACATTATGCCAAAAATACTATCCAAAATCTTTTTGAATTCATTTTAAATAACATATACAATTTTTCAAGGGCCATCTTCGCAAGTTCTTTATAACTTTNCTTTCTTAGAGTAAATCAAGGTGCAGAGTTCAAACTTGAGTTGTATTCGGTCCCATATCCTATTGGTTTGTCAACGCGCAATATAAATCAAGATTTTAAATGGTAGATTTCACAGTATAATTTTGATATTCAGACAGTCTAGGATGATTGATTTGTATGATTCACTTTTTGAAGTACACATAACTCTCGGATTTAAATCCGAAGTTTCCGCATTTATTTTAAAATTCATATTGAAAAAAGGTTCCAGTTATTAGAATGCCGTTTTCATGCTATAATTTCAGACTTTGATATTTTGATGCACCTTTGCTTCAATCAGTATAAGTTAAGAAAAACAAAGGAAGAAATATTGCCCGTAATAGAACTGTAAAGTCTGGATTAAAAATCTACCGGCAAAAACAATAGACTAAAGTGCGCCAATAACAACAGGTATATACTTTTTAATAACGTCTATAAACTCTTATACTAAAAGTTTGAAAGGATTGGCAGTAAGTGAATAAACTACATTGGACAATTTGAACGTTGAGAGTTGCATCATATCTATGATTGTTCGTTTTAAACGAAGTCATCTTTTCTTTTTCTTATTTTATACATAGTGGATTCATTAATATGTTTACAACGTAAATTGAGCAAGATGAAAGACAAAATCATAATCAGACGTCAAAACGATCAATACCGTCTTTAAAATATTCAATTCAACGTTCTGTTTATTTATTAATCCTTGGGTAGATAATAATAAGAAAATAATTTCCGATATGTGTCGTCATGCACAAAAAAGATCAAACAATCATAAAGCGAACGATAAATTCAAATAGATGAAGCGTCAAGTGTTCTATTTATGGCTGTTTTGGAAAGGATTTTGAAGCAAATAAAGCAAGAAAGAAATTGTCAAACTGATCCAAATAGTAATAATTTATTGATTAGGAAATATTGCTTATGTACATTGTGCAACTCTAGAATAACCAATTTACTATTATTGACTGATAGACGATCATATTGAATGATAGTTTCTAGTGGATATACATATTTGTGTAAGTAATAAAACTACAAAAAATAGGTACTGTTTCCTGGATCGATTTCGTATAGATTTAAGTGAAACTATGCTTTCTTTTACCGAAATGATATCAACAATAGAAAGCCTGATATCGTATTCTATATAGGCAAAAAAAAAACATTTAATCATATCGCTATTACTTGAGTACAAATGAAATGTTGGCTAGATACATTATCACAGATCTTCCGGGGATTAAAAAAGAAACTATATAGTGCATATTTTAAGAAATGTCAATATTCGTGTCATCATTTGTCATTGTAGTATTTATTAATTGATTGTCACAACGTGTTCAACATGAAGCTAAATATTTCATGATAAAGCTTTTATCAAATATCTGTTGTATCATACTTTGCCTTTCTTCACCAATGGTCAAAGTCAATGAAAATACGATGATATTTTGTTTGTAAATAACTGTTTGCAGAAAAATGGGTACAAAAGTTGAGATTTCTTTTCTAGTGTTTTTATGTTATATAGAATAATTATTGGCATCATTCTATTGATGATAATTCTTCGACAGCTGAACAAAGAGATGATCTTGTTAAAGTGTAGTTGTTTTCGTTGCGGATTTATAGAAATTCAAATTATCATCCATTTCACTTTAAAAATATCTATTCTATATTCATTTAATCTTATTGAAGCAATGTCATTAGATCAACTAGCTTTGTGGAGCGTGAAACAGAGTCTTCCTAGAAGACTCTGTCTCTATTCAGAATATCAACAAATTAAAGCAAATCAATTTAATTGAATATAAAAGGAGAAATGATCGATGATACACTCTGAATATCAAAAATAAAAGAATTATTTATCAATATATTTGTCATAACCATAAGATAATACTAAAACATAAATGAAAATAGATCGCAAATCTGAGGAGACCTTATATTCTTTAATTATTTATTTCTTCTTTTTACTGAAATTTCAGAAAAATTAGCAGCTGCAACAAGATCATAATCTCAAATAATAAAGCAGTCAGCTAACAGGCTGTATCTAAGTCAGACAGAAAATATTAGACTAGGTTGTGGGACATACAGTTCAAGGAAAAAAAATTAAAAAAAGAAATATAAAAAAAACTCGATTGATTATTAATCAAAGAATTTGAAAATTTTGATATTAGTATTGTAATAAATTGTACGCTGTCTATGAAAAAGTAATGTTGCTCTGTTGTTTCTTTCAAATGGAAATAAATAAAATTTTTAATTATGATACAATAGATTACTCTCTGTAGTCTATTATTGCAGAGATGAAACGATTTAAGTAGTCGTACATGGAAAAAAACACCAGCAAAGTAAAATGTACAAGTTGTTTTTTGCAATCAATTGTATTAGAAATTGACAAACGAAAGAAGTATTTCATACTTTTGAGTTATTATTATTACTCAGTTTTACTTCTTTTTATTGAAACTCAAATTGAAGTACTTCAAAATAGTTTGAAAATTTTCTACATGTTTTATCATCATCTGGTTGAACCTTCAAGAAGTTGCAAAGCAACAGTATAGTTTAGACTTTTTTTTTATAAATGCATACAATTTATTTACATAGTACTCTGATCGTAAATGTCAGATCAACATGTATTGATAAGAGTTGTGCATTAATTCTTTTCTTAATAAATGTCGAATAAAATGCAGCGACATCTGAAAATATCACATCACTGGAGTGTTCTCTTATCCTCTTACATTAACATGTGAATCATATTATAATTATTGAGTGTCTTCCTTATACTATTCCTTTTGCTTGTTATATTCTTTTATCAAAAATGACGAGCAGCCACCTAAAGTCAGATGATACGTTAAATTCAACTCTTGATTCGTCTTCAACTACCAAACAATCATTAGATATTCTGACAACAATTGAATTAAATCAAGTTCAACAAGATTCTAATAATTTCGAATTAGAAAAACAATCGCTATTTGAAGAAGTAAAGCAAATATTTTATATATTCTTGTATAAACTTAAAACATTATTTAGTATGTATCGTTGAAAAAACAATGTGATGAACTTATTAAACAAAAACAAACGATGGAAACTAGATCTCATATACTATTAAACGAAAGTCATCGAATAATTGAAGAAAAAGATGTAAGTTTAAAATCAATAAACGAAAATGATAATTTTTGTTTGATTATTTTAGAATGAACTAAAACATCTTCGAGAAACTACCAATACTGTTTTATCAAGTAATATACTGACTGTTTTTTTTTCTTCATAGTTCAATTTAAACATTAATTTTATTTGTATTCAATTTTTTTTTTCGTCAGATAATCAAACGGATGCCAATGAATTTGTTAAATATCAAAGAATGCTAAATGAATTAAAAGATGAAAATATTCATTTGAAAAATGAAATGTTTAGTTTGCAAAACATACTCGAATCGAAAGAAAAAAATGAGAAAGAATATCAAGAACAAATTCATAGATTACAATTACGAATTACAGAGCTTGAAGATTGGAATGTAGATTGTCAAAGTTTGTTATTCAATTACTATAACAAAACTATTCAATTTCTATTATTTTAGATAATGAATCATCTGGAATAATTGAAACGAAAAATACAGTAAATTTTTTAAAAATTCTTCTCACTAGGATGCATTTCCCAGGTTTCCATGCCATTTTGATCTGATATTTTGCCCAGAAGTAGTTCTTGATAAGCTATGAAAAGCATCCGAAGAGTTTGCGCTCATGAACATTCATTACCGACTTTTGAATTGTTCGAGTATTTTGTACTGAAGTACGAAAAAACTAATTACTTGGTATTTTTACTTGATGTAGAAATCTGATATATTTCATCTGTAATGTAGTCTCTACCTCTGATAAAGCTTTCAGAACCACTATGACGTCATCTAATCAAAAGCTAAATGGAAATAAGAATATGTGAATGGAATTTTTTTCTTTCATATGCCGATGAAGTTACTGTAGGAAGCTTGTAAAAATTGTATATTTTCATTGTTTCAGTTTCTTCAAGATGATAAATGATATTCATCAATGATGATGTGCGTTCAGGTTATTATTATCAATAAATATAATTCAATGATACTAAGAGGAATCTATGTGAATTCTGTTTTATACTCTACAAGTTAGGACATAGTATTGCTTCGCTGCGTTTCTTGAATATTTGTTAGGCCTTCCTGAATGTGAAAATTTGGAGAAAATAGAAAGATGTTTCATATAAGTAAAATGAAATTGTTTCGTATCCCTAGTACAAGTACAAATACTTTCGTCCAAGCTTTGTTTTCCATGCACATGAAAAAAATGGTAGATGATTTCTGGTGATTATTAAAAGGTAAGCGACTGAAAATATTTTTCAGAGTGAACTTAATAATAACTAGATTAAACTAAATCTTTCACTGTTGCAATATTAAGACGTTTGCAAATGATAAATATCGAAATCTCTGTATATTTCACTATGAACTTTTCATGAGACGCCGACATTTATCGTACTGCTTCATATTGTACATTGGACTTCATATGAAAATTATGATAATGAATAGCTTATGCTGTAATAGAAATGGTATTCAAAAAGAAACCATTGCAAAGTCTATTAAATTCTAGTTGTGATTAAGTTCAATCTAAAAACGTTTTACAGTCTCCTACTTTTTAGTAGCCAACAAATAACTATTTGCCATTACTTTCATGAGTACCAATCCTTCGAAGGTTTTTCATAATTCAACAAGACCTACTTATAGGCAAAACATCAGCTCCAAGAGACGCAGACAGCCGGGAATGTTTTCTTGTCAATATAAAATCTTTTTTTATTTCTAAAAAGAAAAATACTAATTTTCAATCAAATCTCGATTTATTAACATCCCGTAATAGACAATTAGAAAATGATTTACAACGTTTACAATTACAACAACGCAACAATCAATTAGCATTAGAACGTCTTGATGAATATGAAGAAACAATTTCTCAATTACAAGAAGAACTTAATCAATTAAATTCAAATAAGAAAAAACAACAAAGTATTAATAAAAATATTTATTCATAACTTCTAATATATTGCTCGAAATGTTGATAAAAATTATCTGATATTTGAATCTTTCTAGAGTTCTATAAAATATTTTTTTTTAACTAAGTTTTCTCTCATAGCCGGTGTTGATGAAGATATGAATCATCTTCTTATGGAAGAACGAAAAAGATACGATGCAATATTTGATCTTCTTGAAGAAACACGTTTACAATTGAAAAATGAAAGTAAACAGTCTGAAGAAAAAATTTCAAAAATTGAAACTAATTTAAACGAAAAATTTGAACAAGAAAAAATAAATCTTGAAAGTCAACTTCAGATTAAAGACAAGCAAATTGAAATTGAAGTTTGAAATTCTATGATTGACAGTTTTTCATTTTCTCTTCATATTTATTTCTTGTAGAGAAATGAACGAGAAAATCTTCAAAAACAGATAAATAATCTCCAACAATTGAAAGATGATCAAGTAAAATATTCTTTTTAATTGTTATTATTTAATTTTTTATTGAAAAAAAAGGAACAAGAAAGTCGTTTAAAAGAAATATATATTAGAGAAATGCTTGAACGACAAATCATTGAACTTAATGAAGAAGTACAATCATTAGAAAACGATAAAAATGAACTTAATTATCAAATAGATCAACTTCAACAACAGTTACAGTCAAAAGATCAATTAATTCAAAATTTTCAGGTTCGTATAAAAGGATACAATGTTGAATCATAACCTAACCTAAAGTATATTTTGATCATGAAAAAGCAAAATCTTGACTTCTCGTTTTTTTTCTCTAAAGAAGGTGTTTAGCAGACTCTTTAATCCCAGTAAAACTCAAAATAAAATCACAAATAATAGCTGGACAAATGCAAGTTTTTTCGACTACGAATATCGACTATTGTCTTTCACGGGTACCACTTTTTGCACCTATATTCGGATTAACATATCTTTTTATACCTGGCACCGAACCGAAATCAATTGCCCTTTGGCAAGCAATTTTCGTAGTCATACACACTTTTCAAACTTTTGTTTCATACAACAAAATATGCTCCTCTTTTAATTCCATCAATTAATAACCAAAGAAGAAGTCATCTGAAATTTTTCAAGAAAAAACAAGTTATTCAGGATTCACGATAACATATTTTCATTGTTTTTATAATACACGCCGCTTTTCATATATTCAACTACCTAATCATATGTATCATCATCATTGTCCACTATTATATCATCTCTTTTAATTTTGTTCTTTTTTCTTTCATCATTATCAGATTTTTTATGTTACTTCTAGTGCCGGATATCCGGTCTAATTGCAAGACACTAAAACCGACCCCCTTGATTACGAGTACGTACTCGTACCTTGTCTTGCTCTTTCACAAATGATATTTCAAGAAAATTTGGGTTCATCGGAATTCTTCAGTAAGAGTAGTGAATGTAAGACTATGCGACAGATTTTAAAAACACATCTCAAATGATCATTTATATGTTTTAAATGAATACAATACTTTTCTTCATATTTTAGACTTTCACTACGACACCTGGTGCACCACCCATGATCAATTCATCATCACATATTCGAGATGTTTCTCTATCACCACAAATATCATCTGATCGTTTACTTGAACTCGAAGGTCAAATTTATCAAAATGAAGAAAAATTTCGTCAAATAAATTCCATCTATAGTCAATTTCTTAGTCTTTTACCGTGTGAATATACATCTTCAAATGATACTTATGTATCATTATCAGATCGATTTGTTAATCTCTTTGAACAATTCTCAACATATATTGGTACATTTTCTATAATACAAGAAGAACTTGATTCTTTAAAACAAATACTTATTGAAAGACAAGATGAACTTGAAAAATTACGAACACATTTAGAATTAACAACAGATAAATTAGCACAATTACAAGAAGAACAATCTTTATTAAATAGAAATAAATCATTTGAAAGTGATGAAGATGAATTAGAAGAAATTCTTGGATTTCAACAACGTGCACCATCAAGACAATCACTATTATCGATTACACCAGGTGAAAAACAACAATTACTTGCACAAAATGAACTTCTTTCATCATTATTAACTGAAAAAGAACAAGAATTAATATCATTACAACAAGCAGAAAAATCACATGAAGATTTAATAAAAAATTTAGAAACGTTACGACTGAATTTACAACAAATGGAACATGATAAAGATATTAAACAAATTGAATTAAATGATATAAGAAATGTACTCGATGAAAAATTAAGAGAAAATTCTTCATTAAAAAAAGAAAAAATGTATTTTATTGAAAAACTTGCTGAATATGAACGTGAACGACAAGAACAAAAATCAATTATTCAAATGTCATCTAAACAATCATCTCAAGATAAAGTAATCTCATTAATACCAATAACAACTACACTCCAAGAAAAAAATGTAAGTCGATAATCAATCAAATGAGGAAATCTTAGAAAACAAAAACTACCATATGATAGCGAATTTCTTTAGTAATAATAATAACTAGATATATTTAGCTAGACAAGTTTCTATTGTTTGAATCTTCATTTTTACTGACACACTGTTGTAAATACATATATCTGATAGAATGAATTATATCTACACTGATAGATACTTTTTCTTTATAGAATTAGACTGAATTTGAGAATCAGATATCAAAAAGTACAGATCCATCGATCAATATCGAAGGGGTTTATGATGAGTTATTATGCTAAGAGTCGAGATGTAAAATGTAAGCTTTTATTCGTCCTCTGTAGTCTGACTGAGAAAAATGTTCTAAGTCTTACTCTACTCTACGAACTTTTTATTTCACTCTCTCTCTCTCTCTGATTAAGAGTTACGACTATTTAAATGAAATTTTTACTGATAGCAAGGAGTTTCCGAAAAATCCGAAACAGAATGTTTGTGTCTGATATTTTTGTCTATAAACACGTTTGATAATCCTGAAAGCTTTAAAACAACAAACATGTCTTTCTTGAGACATTTAATGCTCAAGAAAACTGAATTATTGTGTTCTCCTATCGTAAATTGCTGATCTTTTGAATATTCAACATCTTGAGAAAGACATGTTCGTTTTTGTTGAAACTTTCAAGGCTATCTAAAGTGTTTATGGGAAAAATTTCAGATTAAAACTCTTTGTTTTAGATTCAGAAGTGGCTTGCACTCAGCAAAACTTTTAGTCAAACGGTTATAACTCTACATCAATAGACTATGGGTCTGAATCCTTCTAAGTTTCTCTTAACCTCATCAAGACGTACTCGTAGTTATAATATGAAGTCGAATGGTGTCGGAGAGCTGAGTGTGTTCCTCGGTAAATGTTACTCATATGCTGTATACTGACTGAGAAAAATTTTCTAATCTTTATTTTATTTTGCAGGTTAGAATAGGATACATCTGCAATCTGTAATTAAGAGCTGTCATGATTATAAGAAAAAAACCACTCATCATTGCTTCCATACTCTTCAAATCACTTTTGAGCTTTTGCTAATTATTACTATGACCGTGAGAAGTTTAAGATACAACTGAACTTAATTTTTATTCATCGTCTGGTTGTATTATTTCTCTAAATTATTCTTTATTTTATTTAGACTGATAATAATTTCAGTGAAGAACAATATAAAAACCTTTCTTCTAATTATGATCAATTACTTGAATTATCTAAACGTCAAGAAGACGAATCTTCATCATATTATCATGAATATGCACGTATTCTTTCTCTCTATAACGATCTTAATACGAAATATAGTCAACTTGAAATTGATTATAAATCTATTCAATCATTACTTCAACAAAAAAATGAAGCATATTTACAATGCCAGAATGAATTAAATACTTATCAAAATTTATTATATCATCAAAAGAAAAAATCTGATGATATTGATTTATTACGTTCAACATTAAATGAACGTGAAATAAAAATTCAACAATTAATTAATAATGAAAATCAATTACTTATGAAACAATCTGAATTAGAATCTCATATGAAATTATTAGAAGAAAATAATTTTAAATTAAAATTAAATCAACAATTATTTGAACAAATACAATTAGATATAAAACGTATTACACACGAACGAGATTTAGCTATTGTAGAAAAAAAACAAATAGAAAATGAAATAGAACTTAATAGAGAAAAAGTTTGAAATTTCTAAAGAAAAAATTCCTTAATTATTAATTATTTTATATGTTGTTTTAGCTTTTACAATATGAAGAACGTGAGAAAAAGTTAACGACTGAAATCGAACGCTTATGTCAAATAGAAAAAACATTAAGAACTCAACTTGAACAATTAGATAATTCAAATCAAGAAAAAACTGAATTTATTCATCAATTTACTATGAATAATGAACAATCTCAACAAGAATTATTAATGAAATTAGAAACATTAAAGCATGAAAATACAGAGATTAAAGAATTTAATACAAATTTAACTAATCAATTACAAGATCAAATCAAATGTTCACAAAATTTACAAAATAGTCTTGATCAAATTCAACAGGGTAAAACAAAATTTTTCCTCATAGCTTTCTTCTGGAACTACCTTTATGAATATTAGAAATATATGGAGTAATTTTAAATTCTTCATCTGTCTATAATATATATATATTATTATTTTTTAGTTCATACAAATTATTAATTGAACAATGGTAATATGTAAAAAAAATAAATAAATAAAAATAGTACGATAGTAATATTAAGAAAAAAAATCTAGTTTTTGTCCAAGAATATGTTGAAGAGATGAAACAAAAACAGATGTCATTTAGAGGAGTAGTAGCATCAAGTGCGGAACGATATTCAGTAACTACTAGACCAGTAGGATCAAATGATCATTTCATCGAGATGTGAATGTATGAGATATGAAAAGCCTCAAAAGGAAGCATGTCCTTCGATCTTTCCTCCATGGCTATAGCTATTATCCACGACTTTTAGGCTATGGCACAATATGTATATTTAAATCGAACAGCGACAATTCGATTCGAATTTTGACCCACAGATAGGTCTAGTTATAACTAGAATGTCTTGAAAATTCAGATCAAAATACCGTACCTTAGTCTAAAATGATGCCTCCTTCGATATCTTTTCATATCGCATTGTGGTCTACCTTATACATAGAGTCCGAACTGAAAAAAGGATTTATCATTTGAAACAGTTCCTTCATGAGAAACATTATTACTCATGTCTTATTGTGAAGAATAAGATATGAATTGAAAAAAAGAAACATCGTTTGTTGAATGCTAATAACACATGTCAATTGATTGTTTTTGTTTTCAGAACGTGAACAACATATAAATGAACATTTATTTCAATATCAAGATTCTTTACGTGAACAAATATCAATTTCAGCTCATTTAACAAATGAAAATAATGAACTTCATCAACATTTAGAAGAATATAATGAAATATTATTATCTGTAAATCATTTAAATGATGAAATAAAAACAAAAGATTTATTAATAAACAAACTTCTAATTGAAATTGATAAAAAAAATAAACAAATTTTAGAATATAATGAAAATTTTCAAACAATAAATGATACACGTGTTGAAAAACAACTTGTTAAAAATATTCTTTTATCTTATTTTCATACACCAATTGATAAACAACAAGAAGTTATTCCAATTTTAAGTGCACTAGTTGGATTTACACAAGAAGAATATCAAAAAGTTATGAATATAATATCGAATAATTGTAATAATAACACTAGTACAAATTGGTTAACTAGTTGGCTTAGTATAAATTCATCAAAACCAAAAATACAATCGAATATTTCATTTGATCAATCGAATAAAGTGAGTGAAAATAATCTTTTGTATGACTATTGAAAGATTCTTTTTTATTTAGTCATTTACTGAATTATTAATTCAATATGTTGATCAACAATCAGTGAATACTTTTCCACAGGCAATATCGAATTTTAATACTGATGAATGTAATAATCATCAAAATTTGAATAATTCAACTGTTTCTACATCTGATAATTCTATGCATTTTCCTCGTGATAAACAATTAAATACAATCGATTCAACAACATCGAATGTTGAACAAAATATAAATATTCATAATCAATCTCCTCTTCCAACATCATCTACAATTGTTGATGGTCTTTTAACAGTTTGATTTTGTTTTTCTTTTCTAGTTTATAATTATTTTTCTAACATGTTCACAATTAAACATAGTGCATTGTGTATGACTATATTTTTCTTCATGCTGATTTTCGTCTGGGTCATTTTATTTTATTCTTTATCTTGTTTTGTTACGTTTTTTTCTGATCAAATCTGCGTCGATCGTATAAAAATATAGTTCGTTGTTTCATTTTAGATTTTTGTTTGTTTATTATTATCAAGCAAACAATGGTAAAACTCAATTAGATATTGCATATAAGGATTTATTTATTTATTTATTTATTTATTCAAGGCTTATCATTCTTCATTTGCCAATAGCAAATTTCGTTTAGGAAATATGGCACTACTTCCTATTCGAACACGTTATAGTGGCCCGGCTCCAACGGAAACCTGTAAGTATAACTATTATAAGATTTGGAATCAATTTTCGAATAGGAAAATATAAACCATCTGAAATCGATATCTCAGCTTGATTGCTTTCACCTTTGAGAAAATCTAGAATTTATTTTAGAATTATTGATCCGTTAGATTGTCTTTCAAATTTAATAAAAGACGCCTGAATGACGATTATTTAAATGAATAGGAGAAAATTTTCTGAGTACCCTATAGGGAACTACGGCTTCTTCCAGCATTAGATCCAGAAGTTCACCTTTTTTCAGGTATAAGTACACAAAAACATGGACTCTCAGCTGCCTAGTGCTCAGTAGATTTCTTCGTCTAGTTTTATATTAGATTTAGAATTCAGTTAAATGCCACTATATTGATCTAGAAAACCAGTTGAACATCTCAATATGAATCGAGCTAAGGCATGAGTAAAGAAATAGATAATGACCTTTTATATCATTTAACTAGAAATATAAACTGATAGGCTATGTCACCGCCAAAACTCAGAAATAAATATTTGATTTTTGACGTCTGAAATCAATTTTTGGGGATTTTATCGTCTGGTTTCTTGTCAATAAGTTTTCCACTATCACTTTCTGTTCGTGTTTTCTAAATTTCTCGAAATTAAAAAAATTTTCAAAAAACATTCATCAAATAATTTCAATCACTGCCGCTGCTGCTGATCAACTCATCGGCTGACATCTCTACATCTAACTAAATAGTCCATTATTAAAAATGTTTTTGACAACTACAGAAATATCGCTCGAATAATGTTTTAATCTTGTATTTTTCTAGCTACTGAGAACGAAGATATAATTGATGAAGCAATAAAATATTTTCGAGCTAATATATTCTTTCGTAATTATGATATTAAAGTAAGTTCAATGAAGTTTGTTTGTTTTAATCGATACCGTTTTTGTTTCCTATAGCATGATGCCGATCGAACATTAATCTATTTAACATTGTATATCACTGAATGTTTGCGACGTCTTCAAAAAGTTCGAAATATTTCTTTTCTTTCAAATTCAATGAAAATAATAAGAATGAATTGAGTTTAGTGTCAATCACGTGTTCAAGCACAAAAAGAATTAGCATCATTAGCTATTTCAACTTTTCCAATTCCGGGCGATGCAGATTTTCCACTAAATGGCATGTTTGTTAAACCATCAAGTGGTGAAGTTGGTTAGTTGTCGGTCTTTTTTTGCTAAAAAAAATATATTGAAAGATTCATATTTTTTTATTTCATAGAAAAAATGAAACAGTATCTTGAACAATTACGTAAAGAATGTAGTGATCGTATGGTTGATCGAGTCATCGATCCAGACACAGATAAGCCGTCCAAAGTAAAGATTAACTGGTTTTCGTTTTAATAAAAATCTTAAAACATCTTTTTCTTTTAGTGGTGGCTTTGTTTTGTTCGCCGTCGTTTTATGGATAAAAGCTTACTAAATATTGGATCATTATAATGAACTCAGCGGATAGAATCAAATCAGACCGAAAAAAAAACTATTTTGTGCGTCTTTTTTTATTCATCACTTTTTTTAACAATTAAATGATTATTGATTTATTTGATCTTAACTAAAAGTGCCGTTAATTTGAATTAAAGAGACCTTGAGTAAACAGATTATATTCAACTATCAAAGCATGCCGTCGTTGAATAATATATGAGTGAAGTTAGTCTTCTTTGATCCAAACCTTGATCGTTTGCCCATCTCTATAAGAAATGTATATACTATAAAAATGCATAAAATAATCGAAAACTGTTTAAAACAACTTTAGTTCTTATAATCTCCGACTTGCAGTAGAGATAGTTTAGGTGCATTGAAAATCATATAGGTTAGCAGGGCAAAACTCGTTTATGAACTTGTTTAATGAAAATGCGAACTTAATAAGTTGTCGATTATCAAAAATATGAGAGATTCCAAACAAATGAATTCTTTATGACACTAATAACAGCATTAATCCTTTCGTTTTTGTTGGTCATAATTTTAAGATTAGCTTTGCTTATTTGTTATGAGTAGTACTTTTATCATTTAATGTGATGAAATGAAGTTCTAAAACACCAAAGTTGAAAAGAACTAGATAAATTTAAGCTTGAAAGAAAAAGAACGATAATTTGTCCGATTATTTTTATACTCCATCTTATATGATTTTGATTTGATGGCTTTTTTAGTATTCGACGAGGAGATTGTTTTTCGTTTAAATGTAACTAATAAATCCGTATTTCTCCCTATATTATCGTTTACAGGCGTTATACAAATTTCGTATTCGTCGACCTCGAAGACTAAAATTCTAGTAAAACGTCTATCATTCTCGAAAGAAGGATTAAGGAAATTTATCCTTTCTCAGATGTTTCATATCTCACTGGGTTCGACAATATGCATTAAGTCAGAATTCAGAAGCGATTGGTCAATTGAAAACGTTCTCTCGTGAGTACGTACTATAATTTGTCAAAGTTACAAAAGCATTACTTTTGTTGTAGACCAGAATGCTAAGTTTTAAAATCATTTCAGAACTTCTGAAATACTCTTTTATCATATGAAACAATAATTACAATCGATTGTACAAATATATTTTGATAATGCCTGAAATTCTCTAACATATCACATATTTATATGTTAGCTGGAACTTATTTGTTGGATAACTGTTCAAGTGTTATTGAGCTACTCATATATGTGATTTATATTCTATTACATATCTTTCCAATTAACTTCTTTAAACAGGATTCAAAGTTTGAATGACACAGCTTGACGTAACAATTCATACAATGTTATTTATTCTCAACTCTATGAAGGATTGAACTGACATGTCAATGCAATCTTTGACTAACAGATGACCGGTGACATAACGTTGTTGTTTGTACTCACATTAAATGTAATGTATCAAATGACTATAGTTGTGTAAGAAAGGGCTTCAACGTATGTTTTGTTACTATTAAAAACATCGTTTGAGAAGGAGTAAAAACCGCCACAACTGATAACTAGTACCTGTTATAGAACAATTGATTGTCTATAAAGCTCTATATTTGGTTATTCGTCAAAAGTCAAATTTTTCTACTGTTTTATTGACTCAAGAGTGCTTACTATGCTTCAGAGAACAATTTTTACCAAATCTTAATACATCACTCAAATCATTTCTAAATCTACATTATGTTTAGGTCAAGGCCACGAGCAATCAAAATATATGCTTTTCACGGTTAATATTATATATGTGCAATGAGTAAGATTCTTCTACGGAATAGTTTTAGTCGAAACCTTATTTGCGTATTTTCATATAAAACTCGTAGTATGAATCATTCTCCATGTATATGTATTGACTAATAAATTATGAAAATTAGGTATTGACGATAATATTAGGTCAACATGATTTGTTAAATCCTGAAAGTTTTGTGAGAGTAGAAAGTAATTGATGTAAATAGGGTTGGAATCAGTTGAGAAATAGTAAACCGATCCAGTTCTGCTGCTTGGAATTACATGTCCAATCGGTGAAATTCTGGTGAAAACTGGTTAAAAATTGACGGAAAAATATGGATTTTTTTAAAACGATTTTTAGAAAAATGGCTTCAAATATGAAATACTTTAGGAGCGTATGTAAAAGACACTCATCATAATGAATCTTTTTAAAGATAATCTCAAAGAAATAATTAATATGACATATGTTTTCAGCACTTTTTTACGCATTCTGACAGAAAAAAAGTGACACGTTAGTTTTTATGGTCAGAAACAGGGTTAACAAACAAGATTTTTCCCAACTTTCAACCGGTGAAATTTCGGTATCTGCCGGCCTGGTTGACTTTCTGAACGGTCTGATCCCGTACCGATCTACCAGACCGGTTCCAACCCTGGTTGAGATTTGAATACTTGATCAAATCTAGTGGAATGTTATCTGTAATATAACATAATCTAATCATGTTTTTCATAGTGAAAGACCGAATAACTGAATATATATATATGTAGAAATAGAATAATGCAGTTCGAAAAGATAACTATGTTGTTTACCTGATAAAAAAACCTCATATACACGATAAGAAAAGAACTTTGAGGCTTTGCTTTTTTCTAAAAGTAGAATGAGTTCGAGTATGATTCAGAAAAATTTACTAAGCTACGATTTTGTCTTCTGCTAGAAAAGTTAAGACTAAATTTAAAAATGTACTTCATTGAAAATTTATTTTAATTTTGGTTCATTTTTAATAGACGAATTAAATTTTAAGGCAGCAAAAGAAACAAAAATTGAATCAATAATTAACATAATGAATATATATCGATGGCATCATGTTATCAACATTAATAGAGACATGTATTTGCAAAAATAAACTACGAATTGAATCGAAATGAGAACTGAAAGATAGACATGACGAGAATTTAGTTTTCAAAGAACGTGTTTTTAACGACACACATGCCTATAATAATGAGTCACTGTGTACTGGATTTTATTTTAAAATAAAAATATTATAAACCTAAAAACAAAAGCAGCAATTTATTTTGTGAAATACGTTAAAATTATCCATTTTAACTATATTTTAATGACAAATTCTGAATATTTTTTATTAGATTAAAAGTAATAGATGAAGACATATAGATTTAATAGAATATATATGAATAAGTTTCTCCTTCAAAGAGGTTTCATTCAATATTTCTATTGGTAAATTCATTTCAACCATTAGTTCTGTTCCCAAATGTGCTCCGCTTTTTCTTCTTTCATCTTGTCAATTCATCATTATTTAGTGTTACATAAAAAAAAAGTCGAAAATATAATGATGAATGCAACAGCTTTTAGCCTCATTTGTTAGCCTATTTGCTTCCTATTTTTGGGCCTGGATTGAATATAACTGCTGTTGCTTTTGATCATGATTTTTCTCATTTTATTTTAGAGACAAGATTTTTATAACGATGAAGCAGGTCGTCGTTAACGAACCTCTTTTGTCTGTAGAGAGTGGAAATGATACTGATGAACAACAAAGTATTTGGTAAATAAATCTTGTTCATATTTTTTCATTATAAAATCTAATTTTTATTATGTAAAAGGGCTTCCATATTACGTGATGTCAAATCATCAGCAAAAAAAGCACCTACAACAAAATCTTTGGTAGTTTTAGGTGATAATGAAAGTGGTCGAACAACATTAGTAGCTAAATTACAAGGCAATGATGATCCAAAACGAGGTGCTGGCCTTGAATATCATTATATTGATATTAAAGATGATGATCAAGATGGTATTTAAATCTTTATTCGCATATTAACTTTTAGTTGTTTTTTTTTCCTATTGAATAGATACTCCGAAATTAGGTGTGTGGATTCTTGATGGTGATGTAGCATGTTCAGCTCCATTATTAAAATTTGCTATGAAATCTGAAACATTAGAAAATACAGTTCTGATTCTTGTTGCAAGTATGACTCAACCATGGTCATTATTATCAACATTAAAAAAATGGACAACACTTATTGAAGAACATATTGATCGATTACAAATTGATCCAACACGTTTACGTGAAATGCGTGATCGTCTCCAATATGATTTTCAACATTATATGGAACCAAATGATTCATCAACAATGTTAACATCATCTGCATCATCAACAACAATTAAAAGTGGAGTTGGTGGTGGTCGTGTACCAAGCTCTGTTTCATCGGTTTCACTCGCATCAACAACACCATTAAGTCTAACAAATGGAGATGAACAGGTTGTTTTACCACTTCCTGATGGTGTTTTAACAAAATCATTTGGTATTCCAATTATTGTTGTTATAACAAAAGTAAAAATTTAGTTGTTTTCCCTAAATCATTGTTTTTATTTATTTTTTTGGCATATTTAGTGTGATGTTATGTCAACATTAGAAAAAGAAAATGATTATAAAGATGAACATTTTGATTTTATGCAACATCATTTAAGAAAGTTCTGCTTAGAATGTAAGAAAGATTATTTTCTTGTTTTTATTATGAAATAAAATCGAATTGATTTAATTATTTAGATGGTGCTGCATTGTTTTATACATCGGTAAAAGAGAAAAAGAATATTGATAAACTATATAAATATATTGTACACAAAAGTTATGGCTATCTATTTACATTATCAGCTGTTATTGTTGAACGTGAAGCAATTTTTATTCCAGCTGGATGGGATAATCCAAACAAAGCGGATATTTTATTAGAAAATCTTCATCGAATTAAATCGACAGATAATTATTCAGACGTTTTTGTCAAACCTGTTACGCGACGGGTATTTTTATTTTTGTTTATTTGTGATTAATAATAGAAAATTTGTTTATAGCCATTACAACGTGATAATGAAATAGTTATGGCTGAAGATGATCAAGAATTTTTATCAAAACTTCAATTAACACTTAATAGAGCTGCATCACCTGGTAGAACAGTAAGTGTGGCTTCGATAATCATGCCTTTGATAATACATTTGTTCATAGGATGAAAATGCAACATCTGTGTCCACACGAACATCAGGTGTAAGTGGTGGTGTTGGTTCACAACCAACTGCAGCAGTTGGACGATCAAGACCTCAGTCGGTAAAATTACATTTTAAACAGATTGTTGTCTTGTTAATCAAAAATGGAAATTTTATTTTGTTAAGAATGCAACATCTGCCAGTGGAAATACTGCAACGAATGAAGGAGCATTAGCTAATTTTTTCAACAGTCTTCTCACAAGAAAATCAAGCGGTGCGGCAACTCCTACAGGCGGCAGTACACCTGCTACTCAACGGCAAAGTAAGCAGTTTGTTCTTTCTTTTTGATGGTCGCTTGCCATATAAATATTGTGAATGAAAAAGTGATAGAGAGAAAAAAGACTAACAAAAAAAAAAGTTAAATGAGATCCTATAATATTATTCCAGCATCTCAATCTCCTACAACACCTTCATCAAAACGATTACAGCAACATCCTCTAACATTTGCCGTTACACCACCACTGGGTCGTTCAAGAACACCTACACCACATAAAACATTCCCTTCCTCATTGAACGTAGAATCACCACCTAAAATCGTATCACCTGTAGTTGAAAAACAAGCTACAGTAGAAAATACTTCTTTCATTTCACCAACAGTAGTTCGAACACCCTTGGAAGATAGTAAACCAGTGAAAACTTTCAAGACCACAGAAAATGAGCAATCAACAATAACAACTGTTGAATCTCCAAATTTCAATCATAATCAGAAACAATTCAATGATGCTCTCCAAGTTGAAAATGGGCCGATCACAAACGGAGATCGACAAAATACTGAATCAATAACATCGCAACACGATTCAATATCTAATACTAAAGATAATTCTAATAGTGAAGCTCGTATTGCTTCTCCTCAATCGTCACCCACAACAGAGAAGGAATTGAATATTAAACAAATTGTGCCAAATGATGACACTCATCAACGATTATCAAATGATTCTCCTCTTTCGCAAAGTATCACACAAGATCAAGAAAGTGAGATTCAACAATCTCCTTCTTTTCAATCAACAGTTACAGACACTCCACGAAACGATGAAAAAACTATAAATAACACATCAACTGATACACAATCAAGACATATTTCTCCATCGCAGCATGATGAACTCTTGAACACCGAAAATCAGAGCAATGTCTCATTGATTGATGAATCAAGATCGTCTTCTCTTGCTGCACATGATCATAATCAGCTACATGATTTATCACAATCTATAGATCAGAAGTCATCTGAACTTTCGTCAAGTCAAACTTTTGAAAACACTCAACAATTAAATGATGAACAAGAGAAAGAAGAGCAAATATACTCTACTACAACAAAAGAAGAAGCACTTGAAGACTCTACTAAAGGCAATACATTAAATAATGATGAAGAACAACTAACTGACACGAAACCATCTCTAAATTCTAGTTGTCAGAAGAGTTCAATAAACTCCTTTATTACATCTCAATCGTCTGAAGATGAAAGAACACATCTTCAACCAGAAAATGAATTACCTACTGATACTTTACCTTCCGTACAACTTCAAAGACGATCTTCATCGTCTGATGTTGTTGAATCAGCACTACCAATTCCATCTAGATCAGAGTCACATACTATACTCGAACCATCTGAATCATCATTAATTTATCCAGTTGAGGACAGTCAACAGGCGTCTCATACAGAGCAATTTGATCAGGCAATCATTCGAACAGAACTGCCTGATAATGTTTCATCAACTATCCAATCTCCCACATTATTCTCCATTTCAAACAATTCCACCATTGAAGAGCAACAAAACCAAATCTTCATATCTGATTCTAACATGAATAATAACCATGATGATTTCGATTCTACAAACGAAATGCCAATTAACAGTTCAGATCTACCTACAACACAAGAAACAAATTCACTAACAGCAACTGATACGGAGAAATCACTTGACTCATCTATTTCTGACTATCCTCCCTTGACACCAACAACTCGGGAACAAAGAAAGTTACAATCAACAGAAACAAACTCAACAAAGACGTCGACTCACGAGGCAACACTCTCATCTATCTCATCATCGGAACTTTCAGAATCTACACAACTCCTTCACTCGCCTACAATTGACACACATGAAACCAAATGGCATTCTCTTGAGAACACAGCTGAGCTACCTATAACTAACGACACATATGAACACGGTCGGTCGCCGTCGCCTACTACTACACCAACCGAACAAGATTCCGCACCCCTATCAGCTGTTACAGAACCAGAACAAGAAAGTGAACAACTTGCATCACATCCTCGTGGAAACAATCAAGAACGAAGTCGATCTCCATCACCATTTTTACAAGGCACAGAACAAATAAATCCATCTCAACCATCTATTTCAGAAGATGGACAACACAGGAACCGATCACCATCACCTACAACTGAGAACAAAAATCAACGAAGTCGATCTCCATCAATTGTCGTTCATGACCAACAACAAAGGGGAGAGTCTTCATCGCCCACTACTGAAAAGAAAGATAAAGGTAGTCGATCCTCTTCGCCTACCATCGAGCAGAGTGAAAATCCCAGCTCACCTCTCTCGCCCGCCGTGAATCAAAATCCAGAATCAGCTCGATCACAGTCACCCACTACCCAAGGGAGGCAACAGAGAAGCCGATCACCATCACCTATAATCCACCAAAGCCTTGAACAAAGCCAACCTGTATCACTTACCGAGAACGACGCAGAACAAAAGAGTGAATCTCCATTCCCTGCTGTCCAAGACGAACAACAAAGGAACGAATCTCCCTTACCTATTACCGACAAAAGCAGTGAACGAAGTCAATCACCATCATCTGCTTCTCAAGAAGGCGAAGTAAGAAACCGATCACCTTCACCTATCACTCAAGGAAAAGATGAACACAGTCGATCGTCTTCGCCTGTTGCCCAAGACGGACAACGAAGAACCGAATCTCCATTACCTATTGCCGACAAAAGTAGTGAACGAAGTCAATCCCCATCGTCCGCTGCTCAACAAGGCGAAGTAAGAAGCCGATCACCTTCACCTATCACTCAAAGAAAAGATGGACGCAGTCGATCGCCTTCGCCTGTTGCCCAAAACGTACACCAAAGGACCGAATCTCCATTACCTATTGCCGACAAAAGTAGTGAACGAAGTCAATCACTGTCGTCTGCTGCTCAAGAAGGCGAAGTAAGAAGCCGATCACCTTCACCTATCACTCAAGGAAAAGATGAACGCAGTCGATCGCCTTCGCCTAGTATCGGAGAGGAACAACAAAGAACCAAATCTGCATTACCTCTTGTCGAACAAACCAGTGAACGAAGTCACACTCCATCACCTACTGCTCAAGAAGGCGAAGTAAGAAGCCGATCACCTTCACCTATCACTCAAGGAAAACATGAACGCAGTCGATCGCCTTCGCCTGTTGCCCAAAACGTACACCAAAGGACCGAATCTCCATTACCTATTGCCGACAAAAGTAGTGAACGAAGTCAATCACTGTCGTCTGCTGCTCAAGAAGGGGAAGCAAGAAGCCGATCACCTTCACCTATCACTCAAGGAAAAGATGAACGCAGTCGATCGCCTTCGCCGAGTATCCAAGAGGAGCAACAAAGAACCGGATCTCCATTACCTATTGTCGACAAAAGTAGTGAACGCAGTCAATCACCATCATCTGCTTCTCAAGAAGACGAAGTAAGAAGCCGATCACCTTCACCCATCAATCAAAGAAAAGATGGACGCAATCGATCGCCTTCGCCTGTTGCCCAAAACGTACACCAAAGGACCGAATCTCCATTACCTATTGTCGAACAAAGCAGTGAACGAAGTCGCACTCCATCACCTCCTGCTCAAGAAGGCGAAGTAAGAAGTCGGTCACCTTCACCTATCACTGAAGGAAAAGATGAACGCAGTCGATCGCCTTCGCCTAGTATCCAAGACGAACAAAACAGCACCGAATCTGCATTACCTATTGTCGAACAAAGCAGTGAACAAAGTGGCACTGCATCGCCTCCTGCTCAAGAAGATGAAGTAAGAAGCCGATCACCTACACCCATCACTGAAGGAAAAGATGAACGCAGTCGATCGCCTTCGCCTAGTATCCAAGACGAACAAAACAGCACCGAATCTGCATTACCTATTGTCGAACAAACCAGTGAACAAAGTCAATCACCATCCCCTCCTGCTCAAGAAGGCGAAGTAAGAAGCCGGTCACCTTCACCTATCACCGAAGGAAAAGTTGAACGCAGTGGATCGCCTTCGCCTAGCATCCAAGAGGAACAAAAAAGCACCGAATCTGCATTACCTATTGTCGAACAAAGCAGTGAACGAAGTGGCACTGCATCGCCTCCTGCTCAAGAAGATGAAATAAGAAGCCGATCACCTACACCCATCACTGAAGGAAAAGATGAACGCAGTCGATCGCCTTCGCCTGTTGCCCAGGACGGACAACAAAGAACCGAATCTCCATTACCTATTGCCGACGAAAGTAGTGAACGATGTCGCACTCCATCACCTCCTGCTCAAGAAGGCGAAGTAAGAAGCCGGTCACCTTCACCTATCACTCATGGAAAAGATGAAGGTAGTCGATCGCCTTCGCCTAGTATCCAAGAGGAGCAACAAAGAGCGGGATCTCCATTACCTATTGTCGGGAAAAGTAGTGAACGCAGTCAATCACCATCGTCTGCTGCTCAAGAAGGCGAAGTAAGAAGCCGATCACCTGCACCTATAACTCAAAAAAAAGATGAACGCAATCGATCGCCTTCGCCTGGTGTCCAAGATGGACAAGAAAGGATAGAATCTCCATTACCTATCGTCGAACAAACGAGTGAACGAAGTGACACTGCATCACCTATTGTGAAAAAAACTGATGAAAGCAGCGGAAGCTCGTCACGTTTTACGGAACATAAAGAAGAAAATAGTCAATCTGTTTCGCCTATTCTTTGGGAGACACAGGAAAGCAGAAGATCAGCATCACTTGTTACCGAGAGTAAAGATGAACGCAGTCGATCCCCATCGCCTAACATCGAGCTAGACGAACGCGACAGTCCACCTGTTTCATGCTACGCGGACGAGAATCATGAACATAGTTTATCTTCATCTCGTACTGTGCAAGAAGAACAGCAAAGAAGGGGATCTCCATTTCCTATAACCGAGCAAGAACTTCAACGAAGTCGATCTCAGTCGCCTACTATCCAAGAGGAACCACAAAGTAACGAATCGGTACTACCTATTACTGAACAAATAGCAGAACGAAGCAGATCAGGATCGCTTGTGAACCAAGAAGGACAACAAAACACGGGATCAGCATCGGGTCTTACCGGTGGAAAAGATGAACCCAGTCGATCACTATCGCCTGGTGTCGAAGCGGAACAAAAAAGGAGCGAATCTCCGGTACTTGTTATGGAACATAAAAATGAACGAAGTCGATCTTCATCGCCTTCATTGAGAGAAGAGCAGGAAAGGAACGAGCCTCCATCAGCTTTTACGGAGGAAGAAGATGAACGTCGTCGGTTTGCGTCACCTGTTGCTGAACAGGAACAACAGAGAAGCCGATCACCATCATCTGTTATCGAAGAGAAAAAAGCACTCATTCGGTCCCCATCCCCTACCATCGAACAAGATGAAAACCTCAGTCAACCCGTTCCACTCGCCGCAGACCAGAATCAGGAAGAAAGTCGATCTCAATCACCAACTGTGCAAGGAGAACAAGAAAGAAGCCGATCGCCTTTACCTGTAAGCGAACAAAATCGTGAAGGAAGTCAATCTCCTTCACTTAATGTGGATGAGGATGAAGGAAAGAGTCGATCATCATCGCTTCTTACTGAAGACAGACATGAACGAAGTCGATCTCCATCACCTGTTATCCAAGAGGAACAGCTAAGGAGTGAATCTCCATTACGAATAGACGAACAAAAAAATGAAGGAAGTGAATCTTCATCGTTTACTGTCCGAGAAGAACAACAAAGAAGAGAATCTCTATCACATTTCACAGATGAAAAAGATGAACGGAGTGCATCTCCGACGCAAGCTGTGCAAGAAGGACAGAAAAGGGGTGAATCGACATTATCAGTCACACAACACGAAAATGAACGAAGTGAATCCCCATCACCTGACGTCGAAGTGGATAACAAAATGAGCAAATCTTCGTCAGTTTTTGTGGCTCAAAAGGATGAACATAGTCGATCGCCATCGTCAGCTGATCAAGAGGAAAAACGAAGGAGTGAATCTCCATCATATACCATCGAGCAAAGCGAAAACCGTAGCCGACTCGTTTCACCTACTGCGGCAAAAAGTGAAGAACATAGTCTTTCTCAATCAATGCTTGTGCAAGGGGGCGAACAGAGAAGCCGATCTCCATCACCTATTACTGAAGACAAATATGAAAGAAGTGGATCAACATCATCTGCTGTGCAAGAGAGACAGGAGAGGAGTCGTTCTTCATCACCTATCATCGAACAAAAGCAAATACGTAGTCGATCTCCATCACGTGTTAGGGAAGAAAAGCTTGAACGAAGACAATCTGAATTAGCTATTTCCCAAAATAATGAACAAAGGAGTCGATCTTCATTGCCTACCGCCGACCAAGATGAAGATCAGAGAACACCCGTTTTACCAGTCGCGCAACAGAATGTGGAACATAGTCGATCTCAGTCGCCCAATGTGACAGAGGATGAACACAGAAGCCAGCCGACATCACCCATTACTGAACAAAAAGATGAGCGAACTCGATCTCCATCACCTATTTTCCAACTAAAACATGAACGTACTCGATCTGAAACACGTACTAACGATGATGTAGTCGATCCGACTATGTCTAAGTCTCCTGTTTCATCACCAACTCTATCAGAGAAATTGGAAGAAAACCAAAATGCCCAATCATCGTCAGATTTTACGTATAAAACTACGCATACCTTAACAGAAGACGTAGTTCATTCCCAGATGCATGAATCGGAAAAAGCAGATTACGATGGATCAACATTACCGATAATCAGTCAGAAACAACATCAAGAAGAAAATATGACGCAAGGCTTTACACCATTATCATTCACAAATGAAAACAAATTATCCGGAGAAGAAGATTATAAATCTGACGAAACTGACGAAAATAGACACGTTTTGATGAAAAATGATGAACAATTAAAAGAATGTTCAATACCGTCAGCTTTAACAGAAAAACACGTAGAAGAACCATTGCTCATTTCATCACCAGTGACAACATCTCCATCAGTAAAAGATCAACAAGAAACATCATTCATTAATACTGAGGAGGAAAATCAAAATTTTCCTCTGATTTCGTCATCAACATCACTTCGTGGTGAAAATCAGTATTCTAAAACAATAAAATCACCTATTAAAGAAAGTGTTTCATCAATCATACTGGAGAACCAAGGCACGATGTCTCCTACTCCAGCTACTCATCCAGAATTATCGAGTCTTTCTCATTCTGAACCTCTAGTCGCATCGAAACCTACGGAAACAATCGAACTTGTTTCATCAACACAACCTGTGTCTTTTGATCATCATATTGAACCTGATTCATCTCCTAATCTTATATTATCCGATATTCATCGATCAAGCATTACACGCAGTCAAAGTTCATCAGCAATTGCTCGTCCTAATACCCTTGCTTTTTCTCCCAATGATCATGATCTTGATGGACTTTATCTTTCAAATGATTATGACGATGAAAATGAAATGCCTGAAAATAATGAATATCATCATAATAGTGCTCCGACGAGCACTGTGCGTGAAGAATGCTGTCATTTGGATCTTCTACATAAAGATAGCGTTGAACAACAACACACACCAATAGATCCAACTAATATTTCAAAAACTTTATCGATAGTAGAAAAATCCACAATAGAAGGTATTCTCTACACATTACATTACATAATGGTGATATGTTCATGGTGTTGGATATTCATTTTTCTTCCCCCTTCCCTATCATTATGTATTTTTTGGGAACATGGATATTTTTTATTTTGATAATCCTCATATGTCACATATTTATTTATTTTTTTCTATTTATTTGTAGATAGTGACATTAGTGGTGTTGATTCAACAAATTCCAAAGGCACATAAACTTGAATAAAACAGTTTAAATAAAAATTTATTTTGGTACAATGCTGGCAACTTTTATTTTTTTGTGTGGTTATTCTTGTTTTTATACTATCATCTCTTTGTTTATCTAACGGCTTTATAATTATTTTCTTTTCCTTAATTTTTCTTCGCTCAGAAAAGCACAAATATTGTTACGATGCATTTTTCTTTCTTAAAGATAATCTTTTTTTTCCTTCTGTATACATTCATTCTTACATGAGTTCGTTTATTGAAAAAAATATATCATTGTTGTTAGCGGGATATTTCTATGTGTGTCTCTAATATATTTGTATTTTATGGGAGCGTCTCATTTCAGGTACTTTGTTTATTTTTCATTATATGCGCCTTGCAACGAAAATGAACAATAATTAATTCTTCAAACGCATTTTTTCACTTTTTTGTCAATAGATGCGTTATGATGAGAAAATAGAGCAATTTATTTTCTCGTAAGCAATGGATAGTTTTTAATATGAATTTTATAATGCTTAACAAGTTTTTCTATAATTTGCTCAATAGAGAACGTCTTATTCATATTTGTTCCGAAGAATCTTATTGTAGATATTTTATTTACTTTTTTATTGTTGTGGCTATTTAAAAAAAAAGTCATTTTTTTCTATTAAATTCATTATATATTGATAGATTTTACAAAATTATTTTAAAGTAAAACTTACTAATCCAGCGGTTGTTAATGTCAAGAATAGTAAGGAACATTAGATTTAAATGAACTCTCATTTATATCTCATTTTAANATTCTTGCCGCTGAAGACTTAGTTCTTCGGCGCATCTTGCTCGCATTGGTTAACAATTCAGTGAGTAGTCAGGAGTTTTACTTCAGTAGAGCGAGCATGATTGAATATATCGTCGATTCGACTTTTCCAGATCGAAAAATGTCTCTGCACTTCAGTCCTGATTCAGTTCTTCGTTTCTCCGGTAAGTCAAAGTGATAAAGCTACAAGAATGATTTTTATAAATCATAGATGGGAGAGGAAATTTGACGATAAACAACACGACATCCGAAGATATCTTGTTTCAAATGAAATCATCTGATCCTGTGTCGCTCACGATATCGATTCCATACGGGTATGTTAAAGCGTCCGACTCGTTGGAGGTCACAAGTAAGTTTTGTTTCGTTTCTGACACACGCATTATTTATGCGACCATTAGTCAAGAGATTCGCGAAAAGTGTGACCGCTGACGATCACCAAGTTTTCTTCCAGTGGATATCGTCCAAAGATGGATGGGATGGAGATGCACAAGTGAATGTGAGTTCTCACATGTATCTGTTGTAATTGACTCAAAGTGTTACACCGTTCTACTCCATTTTAGTGGCAGATGCTGGCGAAAACAACAAAGAAAGAGTGCAATATTTTCCAATGTGAATCAACTGAGGGAGATAGTGCCCATGATCTTTCTTTGGCAGATAATTCCAATGATGAAATGAGTTCATGCGAAGCCAAAGTAAGTTGTCATGAGTAACTCCATGTCAAATGGTTAGAATAAATCCGCAAGTGCAATTTCTAACTTTTCGCTATATGAAAAAAATTGTTAGTATCCGACTCAAGCAGCTTGATCATATTAAGTGGAAACTTGATATTAGAACTTTTTGATTCCTCAAAGTGCTCCGAAACAGATAAACACTTTTAACTAGTCAGCCGAGCTAATTGGCTTCGAATAAAGTTATTTCGGTTTCTCTGACGATACTTATGACACGCGGGATAATTTCTAAAGAGCCTATAAACTAGAAATTCTAACAGGAGTGTGGGTGGGGTGGGATGTGGGATGCAGGATGTGAGTGTGAGTGATTAAAGGAGAATAAGCCACACCACACTCACATCCACATCATACAGTTTATAACTAATCGAAGTCTGTATCTCTTCATTATGCAGAAAAGTGTTCTCCTTGAACAACAATTGTCAACTGCGTTCTCAAAGCTCGATTCATCACTTTTCAATATCCATGGGACAGTGCGAAATATAAATAAGGAATTAAGTAACCTTCTCTCGGACCTTGAGAAAATTCAAGTGGCAACGATGAAAGAAATTCGCGAGGCCATCAAAGAAATCGCGAAAAGATATCGTCGTCTCGAGCAAGAAACGGTGAAACACATCCAAGTAATATCACTCGGCGCCTCTAACGTACTTCAAGTGGCAAACTCGGTGAATCCACAAGAGATGACACCAATTGAAGGTTTGAACGAAGTACAACACATTTTCTTAGAACTGGAGAAAAGGCTCCAAGAGCTCGTTGTTGAACATTGGGATATCTCCGACGAACTGCGGCAACAAGCTCGTAAAGCTGAAAAAGCAAGTGAAGAGCATGAAAGAAAGAAACAAAATGAAATCGAGAGAGGTGACAAGATCAGAGACTATGCTAATGATCTTAGGCAGAAAGCCAATGCTTATCTCACATACAACCCGGGAAGCGAAACAAATAAGAACGATGGTCCAAGTGTTGCGTCAAAATTTCTTGGTTGGTTTCTCGAATTGGTTAGCAAGATGCTACTAGCGTTCAGTGAAAAGTGGGCGAAATCGTTCAAAAATACAAGTGAACAGATTCTTCACGTCGAAAGTCTTGTTTCAGGTTCAGCCATTGATTTGGCCTCTATCCAAGGAATCATGCAACATATGAGCGGAAACTTGACCAGCCCGAATGCTCCGACAGACCGCATGCTAAAATTTCACATACGGTGTATTGCCGAGAATAGTAAGAAACTTACATTACACTGTGACAATTATCTTGATACGATTAAGGCACGAAGCCGTGAACTCAAATTCGACCTGCTCGAGCACCAGACTTGAAAGACATTTTTTTCTTTATTGATTTTTTTTCAAAATAAACAGATCAAGAACGCTGCTACTTTGATATTCTTGATCATGCTCTGTGTTTTAGATAGGAACTCGTGGCATAGCCGACCGCATCCATTTTTACAAGTAAAAATAATATTAAAAGTAAGTTTTACCGAGTCTGTAAAAGTCATTCATTAAGTTTGAGATTTCTATATATAACCGATCACAATAAAAGCTGCATCTCTAAATAGTGCTGTATGTAGTAGACCGACGTGATCGATACTGAGGTGCTGACCTTGACGGGGAGGCGCGCAACACAGTAGTAGATGTTAGTCGATAAACTCAGAAGAGAAGATTTTAAGGTGGTGAAATTCCCTTGGTTCTGCAAAACGTGAACTCTTGGTAGCCGATATAGGTGTAACCTCATCAGCTGAACGAATCGTAGAATGAATGAGCCGGAAATTTTCTCATGGGAGTAAAAAGAATGCAATGTTGTAAACTAAAAGCAGCGAGTCAGTATTTATCGATAATTCTTTAGTGGGACCTGTTCTTGCATAAAATTGGAGTGCAATATATGCACAATCTACAGACTAGAATACACCAACAGACCGAAGCAATACAAAAAAAAGACGTTGTGCGGTGATTTTTGCAAACTAGCAGAAGACTGAATTTTGTATTTCAGCCCAAAGTGACACCTTTGAGGAGTAGTTGTAAACTTTTTCCGCGTGAATAAAAACTTGACGATGGTATCCATCACATGGGAAAAGACTAATGGATTTGTTTTTTCATCATAGTGGAGTTATAGAAAACTACTTATGTGAAGGGACTTTTGGGACACACGGTGTATAGCATTTGTGCCGTGACGAAAGCATGCAAATTAGCCTATCTGACGTGTCTATGTAAGAATCACTATTTCTACCACGACGCCAAATTATTCCCTTCTTGAAGAGGACTAGCCTTTTACGATAGATCCAAATGCAAACAACTAAAATAATTCTACACAGAAAGTCATCCACGATAGATCTATCTATGAGGTTTCAGTTCATGTATAAACTCTAAACTGCTATGATTTGCAAGCCAAAATCACCTCGTGAGACATTCAACAACCTATTGATCGTGCCTATAGAACATATAGTAAAAGCAGTGAGGACGTCCATTTTAATGTTGTCTGAGATGACAACCAATAAACACCGCAATATTATTCGATCACTGAACATCAGAATTCTTTTCTTACACATAGGATGGAAGCTAGTAACCAAAGGCCAACACATTTTAACAATATCCCGTCGTCTAAGATACTTCAAGAGTTTTCCGTCGCTCTGGAGAACGCCGGAATGTCAATCATCCATTTGCGAATGATAACACACATCATGCATAAACGACTACAAGATCTATCCTTGGAAGCTCAGTCATCCGACAATTTGTTACAAGGTCCAGTAGTTCAAAATGTAGTGAGCGTTCGCAACCAGTTCCGGCAACTGAATTTAACATTATCTGCTCTTTCTTCAAATGCAATCAATACTTATCAACTCATTCAGAATGCAGCAGACTCTGCTCTTCACCGATCTTCAAATACTACACCTAAAACTGCTTTCGACGACATGCAGTCAAGTTTTGAAATCTTCTTGGATAGAGTGCAAAAACAAAATGTGATAAAACAGTTCCAAGATGTCTCTCGAAACCTCAATATATTGGCGAAAAGTATTTCAGATGTTGAGAAGAAAGCAGTACCAAAAGAGAAAAGACAGAGAGACATTATAACACAGATTCTCACCCTTACAGCTACTTATTTCTCGTTTAAAGAATGCATAATTGTGAGTGTATTGGGAATGCTGTCCTTTACACAGTCAAGAAGTGATACAGCTGAAGACGTCTACGCATTGCCACCTGATCCACTGACAGAGAGTATTCCGATTAATGCATTCGAAACGGTTTTAGGTGTATGCAGCAGAATTATTTCCAAAGCAGAAATACACCCAAGTACCGACGCTGAACTGGTATGTAAAAACTTCTAGTGAGTCTTACTTGTATACACCAAGTGTCTCTATAGTGATTAACTAATTTTCTCGCGTTTCATTTACCGCTTTTCTACGGATTGTGGATAAAGCACTTTTCTAGTGACTACTCCTACGATCTGCAAAAATTTGTGTTTCAATTTTCAGGAAATGTTTACCTGGTGTCCAGAACTTTCATATG